GAGTCTCATGGAGGCGACGCGGCATGTGAAAAGCCTGATCTACTGAGTTCGACTCACAGTCATTGATCTTACCAATTTGCACAGAACAAGGTTCATGCCGGACGGTTCGCCGGTTGCAATGGCTTATCACATGGAGCCGAAGTCCTTACATCTCAAATGGAAATGCTCCCCAATCAGAGATGTTCCTCTCCCGGAGCTATGACGCTAAAAGCGGTTATGTGGTAGATATGTTTTACCCTAAGCTAAGAGTATATCAATCAGCATGGACAGCGCCCTGTTTTGATATATGGAATGGTCCCCAATTTGGAACCAAGCACTGTCGACAGTCATGTTGCATTCGACCTTGATCTATTCCAAGAAGGACGGACCCTCATCTCCATAATTGGAATACAGCCTGCAGCGGAGCAACTCCATTCTACAATTGGCAGAAAATGCTCAAGATGCCTTTGGCATGATGAGGCAAAGGCCTGGAGAGGCTGCTGACGAACCAGAGACCTGAAGCTCTGACGTGTAATGCGCTCTCATTTCAAAACCAAAGCATGACCACATATGTAGTGATAAAGGTGGCTCGACAAATCGAAAAGCATGAAGGGATCGTCTTTTGGACCAAGCGTCTGTTTTCTTTCGGAAATAGCATTAATCCTCACATCCTATCAGGACTCGGGAAAAGCGATGTCTGATGCAGCAGTTCTGCTCGTTCTTTTGTCTGTGGCTGTGTATCTCATTGAGAGATGATTACTCTCTGCATTGTGTGTCAACTCAGGGAGGGACTCTGACGAAGGAGTTCCTATTTCATCAGGAGAACGCAAATCTAAAGGGGTAGCCAATTCTAATAGATGGCGTTAGTGTGTATGGGATGGATAGGGGGCTATTGACGGACGATTCTGCACCGCCACGTATTGTTTTGATCATTTGGTAAGGTACTGAACGTTGTAAGATACCGGTACCTAATAATAATCTGTTAGTATAGTTCGGATGAAACAAGCATCCATGGCATATGACAGGCAATCAGGATGGAAAGGAACAATAATAACACCTCAACATTTAATGCAACAACCTGTTAGAGCCGGGTTGGCGTGGATATCTCTCTACGGAACAGGACCAAGGCAAAACGATTCTGTTCGTCTGCGTATCTGCAGAACCCTCAATTCAGCCAATGTAGATCCCGTCTAGTCATCGGACTCATGTCGGTTCAAGGCAGCAACCATAAGGTCTGGAACATCTGGTAAGCCACTGTCAAGCATAACCAGCAAAAGTCAAATGAACGAGTGTTCCCGGTACTGTGGCATTGCACAGGGACAGATTAAGGGCACGCATGGTCTTGATCCCGGACGGACTCCTGTGTTTGGTTTACTAATTTTTTTGGAGCAGGAAACAACATGCCAAAGAGACTGATATTACAATCCCCTATGGCATACCCTACCCAAGTTAACCATCATAGAATTATATCCTTGGCTGACATGTGAGGTATTCAGAGGAGCTGATGCCCTAGTGAAGAGCTCCAGGTCTCGAGAGAGTGTGGCATAGAAAGAACCAATTAGGTGCCAGATCCTCCAGAGCCAGGTCCATCATCAGGATCTTCTCCGTGAAATAAATCGGTGAAGCAATAATACTGATGATATATGTGCAAGTTGTAACTACTAGATACTCTGTACTTCGGAGAACAAGTCTGAGTCAGATAAGGGAAGATATAATTTCTACCATCTATTCTTTACTATGTGTGGAGAAATCCAAAGGATCCTGTTGAGAAACTCTAACTGAGACATAAGGTACAGTACAGTATCCAAGCTTCATGGCCAGGTACTAGTATGTATCGTCTAAGTGGAGTAGGAAACTGGGTCTCAGCCACGGTGGCTTCAATAAGGAGACAAGGCAACAACAGTATAACGCAGCTGAATGTGAGAAGGTAACTCTTATCCAAATAATCAAGCAGAGCATCTCTATACCAGGGACAACAAATGAAAGGATGTTGATATAGTTACCTTTATCATCATAGGTTTTGGCTTAATGACGACTATACAGAGTATGAATACAATATACAACATAAAAAGGAATACTGGTTGTAAATAAAATGCACAATCAGGAAAAGAAGAAACACCGCCTGGCTCAGCCACATAGCTAGTAGGCACGGTAACTGTTGTCCACAGGTGGATGGGTCTGGTAAAATTACATCCATTTCACTGCCAACTCGTTTCATGGTCCTGTCTGTTGTCCATCAATACGGAGTAGTCAGCAGCAATAATACCTAATAATGAAAGAGGACCAGCCGGGGAAAAACGAAACATCGCCCAAATGAAATGAGAGCGAGTCCTTGGGCCAACCTAACCTCATTATTAACGCCGATAGCCTCTTTAGCATTGAAACTTGACACCACCACCACCAACTATCTTCCCTCATCGAAGACCATTCACCATCCATTTTCCATCCCAGTCTTTTTTGGATTCTCTCCATCTATAGCTTCAAATTAATTCAAATTTTGCAGTCAGTCCCTCTCTGTCTTTCCTTCCTCTTCTTCTCCTTTCAAACCTCTATCTCTTAGTGTTCCGCGCCGTTGCGCTTGTTGCTCCCGTGCACTGTATGTGATAACCCTTTTTGCTCTCGGGCGCCTGACTTGTCCCTTTCTCTACTCTCGACCACCCTCCGCCTATTCCATCACTTATCTACCTACAACAGTACTCCTACCTCCTTTGCTGTTACTTCTTCATCAACGCATCCATCGTCTCTGCGTTGCCATCATTAAATTTTCTAAATCATTCGCTGATCATTGTCTCCTTTCAAGATGGCTGAAATCCGCCGCAAGCTTGTCATCGTTGGCGATGGTGCCTGTGGTAAGACTTGTCTTCTGATGTAAGTTTCATATACTCTCCCTGCCTATGGCGATCATGATCATCGGCAGCACCGAGCTTTTCTCTTACATGAGCTAATCCCGATTTTCTTTGGATAGTGTCTTCTCCAAGGGAACCTTCCCTGAGGTTAGCTTTCCCCAAACCTTGCCGTCCATCATCGTACTACCGATGCTTGCTGCTCGATTCGAGTCAACTTCACCGTTCAGTACTCGAATGACTCCTATCATCTGACACTGCAAAAATTTTCAGGTCTACGTCCCCACTGTTTTCGAGAACTACGTCGCCGATGTCGAGGTTGATGGCAAGCACGTCGAACTTGCCCTGTGGGATACTGCTGGTCAGGAAGATTATGACCGTCTTCGTCCTCTTTCATACCCCGACTCCCACGTCATCCTGATCTGCTTCGCCATCGATTCCCCCGATTCCCTTGACAACGTCCAGGAGAAGGTGAATAATAGCCCAGGCGTCCCCTTCTTTCACTAAGAGAGAGAGGGGATAGTGATTCATGCGCGCATACACAATGCTGACAGCGTTCATAGTGGATCTCCGAGGTTCTTCACTTCTGCCAAGGCCTTCCCATCATTCTCGTCGGTTGCAAGAAGGACCTTCGTCATGACCCCAAGACCATTGAGGAGCTGCACAAGACCTCTCAGAAGCCAGTCACTCCTGAACAGGTATGTGACCTGCACGAAAATCAACTTGCTCTATGGATTATTGACATATTTGTTTAGGGTGAGGAAGTTCGCAAGAAGATTGGAGCTTACAAGTATCTCGAATGCTCCGCACGAACCAACGAGGGTGTTCGCGAGGTCTTCGAGGCTGCAACCCGGGCTGCCCTCTTGACCAAGACCCACAAGAAGAAGGGCAAGTGCACTATTTTGTAAACTAGATTTTGTCTCCTTCACAAAAGGTCTGTTTCATTCGGAGATTTTATCAACGGATCAGCGTCTCCAATATCTGGTTGCTTCTTTTCACTGAGAGGGGGTCTCTCCGTTGGCGTGTTCAAATGTGCCTGTGTGCGAGTGTGGATAATGTTCGACTACGGGCACATGAGCTTCATGGGAATTATCTGGCTATGCAGTTGGTCGACTTTCTTCTTTTGCAGACTTCTATTATTTTCTTAGGGAGGCGTTGTCTTCATAACCTTGTGGGTTTTCCTTATTCTCTCGCTTCAAGTTCTCCTAGCGTCTACAGGGCTGCCCGGCTGCTGTAGCAGCGAAATATTGCTTGGTTTCTAGCAAGCAACGGGAAAAACGAGGGCCGCTCACGACTGTGAGGGCGTATGGTTCGGAAGTGAGCAATTTGAGGACGGCGTTCTGTCTCTGTGTCCCGCCAGCATACTCTCTGAGAAACTGATCAAGAAAGGGAGTCGGAATCTCGTGGTATGATAGACGATTCTATCGCATCGGGTACTTCCAGCAAGGGTCTCATACTTTCTTTTTTTTTTCGGTTAAAGAGAATGCATGAAACTGTCTTTGATCGTTGACGCTCGCATCCCTTCAGTCAATCTAGGCTTTGTCCTATTCTCCATGAGTCCCAGGATGTCCGAGTGGTTTCAACACCCGATGGTTGCGATAGTATCACCTGCTCAGACTCAACTAATAATAATGCTGTTACCATTTTTGTATTACTTGTGTCCTGCCTGCTTTCTGCGTCGATAGTATCTGCTTATATCTTCCAATTGACAACGTAGAGTATTAGCAACCTGAGTCCACTGTAGGCATTGACGAGTGACTACGATTTTACACTGTTGGTAGTTTCGCATTACCATATATTCGAGCATTGTGTTCAGGAGAACTAGGCAATATGATAACACATATATACTCTGTACTGCTACAGTTTCAGGATTCTGGTATGCAGGAATACTCCTGAGTCAAACCCATACCTGCATCCACACAGAGTAACCCCATTTCAGTAGCAAGCACTCCACTACAAATTTAGACCACGGAGTAGATAATAGCGTTCTCCATAAGTGTCATGTTGAAGTCAACTTTCTAGAGTCTGCTACAGGTCACTTGTCAAATCGCAATCATGTCGAGGCTATCGTGGATGTTTACCGCACTTTCTCTTCTTAATGTTGAGTGCCTTTGCGTGAGTACTGAAAAGAGAAATGTGGAATCTGATAGAAAAGTTCCTAAATCCGAGTATATGACATTATCTGTTCAGGCTTAGTAGATTCTCTATATATCGTCTCGCATCAAGGCCCAGCCCCTCTACAAGTTTGCCCGGCCCCGTCTCAGAGCGGGAGGCTTGCCGTCCCGGTGATGAGGCACCCCCAAGATCTCTGAAGAATCGTGTCCCGCTACCACCGCGAGCATGCCCCGATGCCGAGACGTGGTCGCTTGCTTTGCGGACCAGGAATGCTTCCCGTGCGGGAGGGGGAGAAAAACCTTCGCCTTGGCTAACACTTGAATCGTGATCATCTTGATGGTCCGGGAGTTGTGCGTCAGTGATTCGTACCCAAACGATCCACCAGCCGCGACTGGTCTTGCATGTTCGCTCGAGTTCGAGGGGCCGCAGCCTGGTTTCGGCGTATGTGCTCAGGAGGCGCTGGTGAATGTTGAGACTCTCGACGCGGGACCATGACGAGGTCTCCAGAGAGGGGTATCCGAGGTCCGGAATGTTCGGAATAGAAGAACGGATGGTCAGATTTGTGGGGTCGTAAACGAGATCGTAGACCGGTAGGCTCTTGGTTGAAAAGCGTTTGTTGAAGTCGAGCGTATTCTCGGACATGAAAATGCGTTCTGCGGCATTTGCAGGCGATGTGGAGTTGATCAGTTGCCTCTGGAGGGGAGCGAGTTGTTGATGAATGTTTTGGTAGAGGGAAACATCGTTCAAGGACGGCGCTTGAGGCTCGAAAAGGAAGGTGTATATAAAAGGTTGATTCTGTTTGTTACATTAGCCGACATCTCAATGAAGAGGCCTGGTACCGGGTCTGAACGTACGGCATAAACCACTACCCGCAGCTCAACGGATTCTGTATCGCCTGCTGTGCTTTGTCCTGAACGACCAGCTCGTTGGACATGCAGAGTCCGCTGGACTATCAAGTTGGCTGTTGAGTCGTTTCCGGCGTTATCTTCAGGAGATTGGTAGTCCACAATGTCAGAGACATCACGTAGACCGATAATGAATTTTCCATTCGCCTGGTCCTTGGGTTTGGTGTCGTTGCTAAGCCTCGGTGCGCTTTCTTCAGATGCTTCCTTGGCATAGTCAGAAGACTGGTGCTCTTTCCTCACGTCCGACCCAGTCTCTTCCCGCTTCAGTGCCTCAACGCGGGGATGTGTGCTGGTTGTGCTGGACGAAAAGCTCCAAGACGACCCGTATCCGAATGTGAGATATTTGACCAGAGTGTCTGATCCAAGACCTATCCAATCGCTGCCCTTGTCGCCCCTGGATGGGGAGCTGTCACTGCTACTTTGCGGTGTCCCTTGTCCGGCCTCCTGTGCGGCTTTCGATGTTCCTACTACGAGGGGAGGGGGTATCCCTGGGGCAAAGCTGCGCTTTGTCGTCAATTGGGATTTGTCGGTACTAGCTGAGAGAGCTTTCGCAGCTGATCGACCACGATGTCCCCTCCGGCGTTTTCGTCGTCGCGGTGACGTCGGGTCTTCATCCACCCCATACGCATCGTACCCATATCTAAAGATCCATTCCATCCACTGAGAGACCTGTACCAGAGAAGACCTCGAGATGTTACCGACTCCGGAGAATGTGACACCATCTGATGGACGAGGGTAGACGTCCAAACCAAGCCAACTTCCCTGATCTTCGCCTGCATCGGCAGGATCCTCAGACCTCTTTGTCGTTGCTAAATTCTCCGCGGCGGAAGAAGGATCGCCGAACCGGGAGACGACTAGATCCACTAGGCCGTCTGTTCTGAGCACATAGTCCTCAAGAACCTCTCTCTCCCCACTTCCCCATTCTTCCTCGCCCACTCCGATGCCAAGCTCGCCGCCAGCAGAAAGCTTTATGCCGTTATATAATTCAACGGTGGGGTTCCCAGTCAGGAGAATGTCCCAGCTCCATGCAAATTTGCTCCAAAAGCGCTCAAGAAAAATGCAAAACGAGGACCTTCCAACACGGTCGTACAGACGCTGAAGCGTAAGCTCATGATGAAGGAGGAATATGGAGTGAGCCCGGCGTAGCTGTTGTTTCAAGAGTTGCGGCGGACAGATCTCTCTCGAGGAGTAATAGACAGGAGAAGCACCGGACGTATCTTGCTGGGAGGCAGCGGTACTTGCTGATTCATTGGGAAGCCTAGTGAGATCTATTGACTGTGATCACGTCGTCAGCGATCAACTCAGAATGCCCCGCGACACCCTACTTACTGCTAGTATCCACCAATTTTCCTCCAACTCATGTAGTATGACGGTCGATTTTTCTGTCTCCACATAATCGACCGGTTTACCCTCAGAGAAATTCCTGGAGTCCCATCTCAGCTTTATTCAGGTTCTGCAAACGTTGTGATTCGAACCTGGCGAAGCTGACCATTCCCTGCGCCAGTCCTATCTGGCGCAATCTCTCATTTTGCGCCTCAGTAAACTTTGTATCGTCGTTACCACCTGCTGATCGTTCATTTCGTCGTGATCGCTCTGTTCTGGACGTATAGAAAACAACCTGATCACCGATAGTTTCGTCTGTCGGTCCGAGGAGGGGGTTGTATATCGCAAGGCATGAGAGCTGGGCGGGAACCACTGAAGTCAAGTCGCTATCTGGCATCGCATGTTCAGATCATGCCACTGCTCATCACAGAGATGTGGCACACTTGAGCACGACTATGTCGTTGGAAGACGAGCTGCGCTGATCAGATGGGCATGTTGATATGGTGACATCACGTGGCTGAGCAACGGGAAAGCTTCGCGGAGCTTCACTTCACAACCTCGACAGCCAAATAGCAAATACAGAACCCGTCTCACGAGGACGTGGGCAGGTCCAGACAATGGCTCATCTCATGAAAGCTGGAGCTCTCTGCCATTATAGATGCGCTCTTTCAAAGTGCAGTTGTGGATATCGGTTTCTTGCGACAAAAACATACGACCCTCTCCGTATCCTCTTTTGCGGAGCTGACGAGTTCAGCATAGCTTCCTTGAAAGCTTTACACGAAGAACATGTCAAACGACCAGATCGAATATCGTCGATTGATGTTGTTTGCAGACCTGGAAAAAGAGTAGGGAGGGGTTTGAAGAAAATACGGGAGGGTACTTTGTCCACTTTGAGGATCAATGTGCTTGGAACTATGCTCACTCATTCTATTTGATCCATAGTCCCTATTAAGGCGGTCGCAACAGAACTTTCACTTCCAATTCATGAGATAGACACATTCAAAGGCTGGGCGGTAATTTATTGTCCTCGTCGACACGGTAGACTTGCGTACTGACACTGCTAGCCCCCAATACTGCCCGGGAGTCCCATCAATTTGATAGTGGCTGTGTCCTTTGGCTTATTCGTGCCTCCACGAATCCTCAATGCCGCCAAGTACGGTGGATTGAACGTTCATCCATCTTTGCTTCCCGAGTACGCCCTAAAAATCCTAAGCAGATCCTCAAGGGGGTTCATCTAACGAGCGAATGCCTAGTTTCCGTGGTCCGGCCCCGTTACACCATACTCTTCTAGCAGGGAGAACGAAAACCGGCGTTACGCTTCAAACCCTACATCTCAAGCATTTCGATCATGGCGTCATCCTTCAGCAGACTCCAGCCCCCGGTTTCGAGATACCCAATCCTGACACATGCACCGTTCCGGAGCTTCTAAACATCGTTGCCCCTAAGGGAGCGGAGATCCTCTTGGATGGTATTCGCAATGGATTGTTCGTCCCTCCCATACAAGACGCAGGCTGGCGGGCATCGAAGAGCGATGAGCCATTAATTCATGCGGCGAAGGTTAAGCCAGAGGATCGACACATAGACTGGGTCAACTGGACATGGAAGGACATCAACAGGCGGAATCGCGTGCTCGGTCCCCTCTGGAACAAAACCCTCGCGACGAGCGATCCTGCTTTTGGGAATCCTTCGTTTCAGCGGCGCAGAGTGATCTTGAGCGAGATGGAGGAAGTAGATACGCTAAAGGGCTGCGAGGCATTCTCTCTTGTTCCCGGTTTGCCTTTTGTGGATAGCGCACATCCGATTGATCGCGAACAAGGGAAGGGGCTGTACGTGTTCACAAGAGATGGCAAACTAATTCGGATTCATCAAATGAAGGTTGAAGGAGAACAGAATACAGATGGCGTTCGCGCCGCGCTCAAAGCTCGGATGCTTAGCGATCGAACCTTTCACTCTGGCGCTGCCGACTTCACCTCGTTTCATAATCCTTTGCAATGAACCAAAGAAGGACGAGCATCGTCATTTTCTTTTCATTATTCTAACAAAATGATACCGCTTCAACGTTGTTCAAGTCTCTATATCTATATGGTTGGCAGCTATCACCCATGCTCCAACCAGTCTTCGGAGCAACACCCCTTATTTGATCGCAAAACCGGCATCTGTGTCATCAGCATTGCGATAAATGACACAAATCGGGGTCACCCACCAACTTGGATGGACTGTCCAGTCATGGACGAGTTCTGAGCCAGCATAACATATGCATTGGCAGCGTCCTCCACCTCGGGCTAATGTTGACTCGATTAGCTAACGAGGGTCGAGTATAAAATTTTGGCCTCTCTTACCAGTTTCCCAAGTACCGCTTTGTTCTTAAAGGCTGCGATCTTTTCAGCAGGGAACCGTTGTCCCTGTAGTTTGATTAGCCCGTGTTTTGCGCCGCTCACTCTATGTTCTGGTCTGACGTACCCATTCAGTGAGCAAGAGAGCAGGCACCACAGCGTTGACGCGGACTTTTGAACCTTGACTCTGTGCGAGACACTTCATAAGGTGCAAACCTATGTTGAATTGTGAGTCATGGTTCACTCATGGCTTTGCCTATGAATCTTACCTGCTGCCTTTGTCACAGCGTACGGTATGCTGCTGCCGCTTGGTGTGACAGCCTAAATTGCTATATTAAGCGCCAAACTTCACAAGACATATTTGACCCAAAGATGGGATTGGTGGTTACCTACCGCAGTGGACGAAGTGATAATGAAGACACCGCCGTCAGGGTTTGCGTTGAATGTAGGAAGTGCTTCCTTGAAGAGATACCAACTGCTCTTGACATTTGTTGACCAGCACTGGGTGACATTGTCAGCCGTTGTTGCCCATAAGAGCGGGCTTCATTACCCTGTCCCAGTCGTCATCGTCCATGGCGTCTAAATCGCTGAATGTAGTCATTTTGGTCCAACCCTTGACGGCAATTAGTCCGAGGCAATATAGGGAGAAGCATGCATTGATAGAACTCACTGCATTTGAGATCACAATATCTAGACCTCCAAGCTGTTCAATCGTGGTCTTGATCGCATTGCTACAGTCTTGACGGCGACTTGCGTCCTAGATTTGCAGGCCACAGTCAAATACCTCTCTAGCGCGCATTATGGATTACCACAGCAGGCAAGCATGACTTACGCCTTGAACAGTGATTGCATTGACGCCGTACTGAGTCTGTAGGCTGGACGCGAGCTCCTCCGCAACGTCTTTACTCGAAAGGTAGTTGATCGCAACGTTACACCCTTCGGCTGCGTACTTCTGAGCCACTAGAGCTCCTAATCCTCTGGATATTCGTCAGCGTCATCACCAATGAGCCGGAATAGCAGACGTACCGGGAGCCACCAGTGATCAGGGCATTGCGGCCTTTTAAGGAGTAGGACATGATTCACAAACACTTTTCTGAAGTTATATTATGGAGAATGTAGAATGTAGGAAGCCAGTATCTAAACGATATAAATAGGCAGAATAACTGTCGGGACAGAAACAGTATAATGATCGACTGACGCGGGGTAACGTATTTCAACTATGGGGAAGATATCGGTATAATTCCGATATCTGCATAGGAGCGGAATTATCAGCTCTCTAGCTTGACTGTTGTGAGATTGATGCTGCCCATTTCTACTATATACCAGCGTCCTCTTCAAGAAAAGCAGTAGGCGATCACAAGGCTCAATTGACCATCTCAAGCACAAGGGAAAGAACATACTGAGTTGAGGAAGTGCACTGGGCACGCATAACTGACCTCGGCTTTGCTTGTGGGTGATAGACACAGCTATATCGTTTGTCATTATCTCACAGTATCTGTATAGTATACATATTCTAAGAAATATAGTGATTGCACGTCAACGCCGTCAGAATGCAATGCTATCGTTAGTCTACCAGCGTACCGGCATATTCGGTCTTCCTCATGCCCCTCCAGGCCTGTTTTCCTGCCAGGTCAGGCCATTGCACGAGAAATCGATCAGCAAATGGTAACAATAGCTTTCCACTTAGACTAAACGTTGTGACCCGTGCCCATGACTCTACATAAATGGTACGCAGCCGGAAGTGAACTGGTGCAGGTGCATCCTCTGATCTCTTCGCTTGAGATGATCTCGAGCTATCCCTGTCTTGGTGGTTCTTGATATTGAAAAGAGACCCTAGATAGTGAAGCAGTCGCAAAGATTTGGCAGCCAAAATCATACAGACTGCAGTAGCCGGACCGTTGGTAAGGATAACGTCCGGGTATGGCGAGTTTGTTCTCAGAAGCGGCGACTTTTGCTCGGGATGACGGCCGCGGAGTACAAGAAAACAAGCGTAGAAGCATTGGAGGGTTGAAAGAGGAGCAGTCAGGTAAGACTGGTGCACACGGCGCGCGCGAGGAACCGTGACGATTGCGTAGGACTCTGCGGAGTTGCTGTCATTGGCAGAAAATGATAGCCTTGAATGCTGCTTCAGCCATTCTGTCTCAAACTCCACGGCCCTCGTAGCGCTGAAATCGTCTCCCGAGCTGACGACGTAGGTGCGGTAAGTATATGTCGAGGGGTCGAGTTTCATACGCCGCAACATAGAGAACATCTCAGCGGTATGTCCGCCGCTGCCTAGGACGACGAGAAGATGAGTTGGACTATTCTTTCGTCGCCACTTCGGAACTTTGGAGTTTTGCGATATTGATAGAGCACGAATGTAGAGCTGATAATCAAGTCATGAGCACGCCGCAAGAAGGATGGATGGAGAAGTGTCCTCACAATTAGTGCGATAGTGCCGCCTATGGCCGCAAATAAGAGGCCATAGATGATTAACTTGACCCACGGCAGAGCCATGGGGAGCTTATTTTCACGAGTTCAGACGGTGATTGCCAGTTGAAAGTAATATTAGCCACTGTTGTAGCTAGATCTCATCGTCAACGTGCACTTGAAGACACGGTAGTCAGAAAACGACACCTGTTTCGCTTGATTTTGTTGGCATTCTAGCCCTGACAGACGCTCAAAGCTGGAAATCACTGTAGATTAACATTCAGTCACAGCTACCCTAGACTCATTGAGCCATTGTGTCTTGGGATGGCTGGAGTTGTCAACATTCCCATGGTTTATATCATTGGATTAATTCAGACGGCACGTGGTCCGTGCGGATCTCGGTGATTATTTTCCTGTTGTTGTCTTAACTCCTACCGTGATAGACAAGGAAAAACATCAGGGATACCCTTTATCATCATTCCATAAATAAACTTTTTTCCAAGTGACTAGATTCTCTCTTGAAACAATCATCATCAATGTCATCGGATCTGACATGAGATACTAAACCATGTTCTCCAAGCGACTAAGCTGCTTCTATTGTGGACATCGCTCTGCGCAGGCTGACAAAAACGTTCGCAAATGGCGCTGCAAACACTGCGAAGCGGTCAACTACCTGGACGAGGTATGTGCTTGCTTTTGTTTCGTATATTCCGAGTTAACGCAGATGCCCGTCACTAGAAAGGAGAGATTACCGACCCTCCCGCCGCTGAAACGAATCCTGCTGTTTACGGTCCTGGGGCCACAGACGTTCCCTTTGAGTCGGTTGATCTTACAGGATCCGGCCTCTTCTGTGCTCAGTGTGTTCGCAACCAGCATCTGTTCACAAGTGCACTTGCCTCCTATTTCCCGTCGCCAGAGGATCCCAATTATAGCGCCTACGAGCGAGAATATCCCAGTTTCCGCAGGAACCTGGAGGAACGATACCCGCAAGTATGCGCAAACTGCGAACCTCGGGTGAAGGAACGGATACGTCAAGCTGGATATGAGGCGAAATCGGACCACCTTCGACGGATGATGGACAGGAGCAAAGCGGGAAGGGCGGCGAGACACGCGCGGCGCTGGAATTGGAGGAATCTACTGGTGTCAGCGGGTGCCATCGGTTACTGGGGCAGCGTTGCTGGTCAACTAGCCTGGGATACTCTGGGTGCTCTGAGTGCCGATCATCATCTCCGCGACATGTACGATGACTTATCGCCGCCGTCCATTGCGTCGTGCGCTCGTGCGACATTGCAGACATGTCAACTACCGAGTTCATGCTGGATTGACTTGTCTCCCTACGCTGGACTAGCTCTGGTTGTGGGGATCTTGTCCTTGTGGTGGAACCCGAAACTGCGACTCAAGGTCGAAGGCAGAGGAGGACGTTTTGTCGGGCTGGGCGAATACTATCAGGTGCAGCTCATCGTCATGGTGGCGCGATGCGTCTTCTGGGCTGTACTTAAAGACCCTTCTTCGAGTGGACTACAACCGACATTGCCGCCGGCTCTTCATCTATTCATGACACTCTTCACGATCCTGGTAAGTCCCGTCGTTGCTGAGGAACGAATGGATCGCACGCTGACAGAACCTCAAGTCCGTCGTTGTCTCTCGGCGCGTTGTCAAGTATGACACTCGCCCACTGGTCGCATGGTCGGATAGCACGCCAACGGCGACCCCTACTAGGAAAGCCGTTACGTCCCCCGTTGTGCAATCGAGCACTACTGCTCATCGCCTCACCAGCTCTCGTGGAGCCGACCAACAGGCTACTCCACGCTTCCCGCTTGAGAAGCTGGCAACTCCCCGTACGGTGCCGGAAACGGAGACGCTTATTCCTCCCACGCCTCCTCCCGAGGTGGACGATATGGACTGGACCCCTTCTGTGCAGCACGAAATCAAGCCGACGGTCAGCGTCCGTCAGAGAGACACACCGTCTGTTCTCAATGGACCTCTACCGTTCTATGGATCACTACCCGCAGCCCCTAAACCTCCATCATGGGCCCTTCGGACCCAATCTTCGCGGCCGAAGCCTATCCAGCAGGTTGTTGAACGCAACCCATTTCACCGTACACCCACTCAGTCGCCAAGTTCCTGGCAAAGTAAGCCCGCCGGTCAGGCAAATTCGGTCTTTGCACCTCCAAAGTTCTTTCCTACTAGTGACCATCTTGCTTCAACTGGGCTGGAGAGTTTGTTTGACCGTGCTTTTACGATCAAATCCCCTGAGGATGAGGGGAACGAGAACTGGCAGCAGCACCAGCGAGCATCGAGTGCGCATGCTCGCCAGTCCGCGGATATGCAGACACTCTGTATGTTCCAGTACTTTCGGGTGGGCCTGCTACTAGCATCTATTGCTGCCTGGCTTCTGTCACAGTACAACCATCTCTCAATTCCCGGCAATTACGTCGAAGTGGCTTCTCTTGGGAGTGCAAGTCTAATTGCAGGATTCGCACTGTTGGATGTCCTCAAGCAACCCATCGCGCAATGGAACGGCATGGAGATCCTTGTTTATTTCGCCGAGCTTGTGGCGGCCGTCCATCTTGGGGGACACCTTCCACATGTGTCATTCGAGAGACATTATTTTGACAGATATGGGAAACTTCTGTTGATCTTTATGACCGTTCAGGAAGCATTGGGGCTGTTATCTCTCTACCGTATCGCGCCAACCGGCGATGCTGGCTCTCAAGTGCAGCAGCCCAGCCAGCCTGCGGACGAAAGCGCTTGGGGCAGTCCATCACTCGGGAGCCATGTTCGGGCCGAGCAACCATCTTCATCATTCAGTTCTGCTGAGCCCCCTGTTCCGCCTCTTTCATTTTCTTCGACTGCTGCCGGTTCCAGCTTCATGACGCGGTCACCAGAGGCACAGTACCAACTAGGCTTTCCGAACCACAATCAAGGCCTCAAACGTGATCACAGCTTCACATTGAATAGTCTCAAGGACAATGAATCCGACTTCTCTGATGCCTACGATCGTGATTCGGACACCGAGACGACCGTGACGACGGCGACGACAGCCACAAGCAACACGGCCAGGAATATCCGCTACGGACGGAACCCGACTGATACATTCTTCTCCCCAAGACGCTCAGAGCTTGGTCCTAGAATCGGGGGGTTGAGTCTTGATGACAAGCCCTCCCGGCGAGTGACGCGCAGTCAGACGCAGAGACTTGCCGGAAATGAGGGAATCCGTAAATACTCGATGCGCGGTTTGAAGTAACCGTTTGGACAGCTTCAACCATTTTCTTATTCATATGCAATGATGTGCATTAGCGGAGTTGGGGTTTGCGTTGTTTTGAGATCCAGGTATTTGCATTCATTAAGAGATTGGATTGTGTCACGTGTCGAATTGTCAGAAGCGTTCACGGGTTGATTGATTGGTATTATCTTGCATCCACTTACCCCAGTCCATCTTCTTGTTTTGTCACTCTGCTATGTGGGAATTACTGCGGGTTTGTACATAACGACAGGAATATACGACTTACGACCAATGATGAACAAATATTCAGTCCTACAAGTCCTGATGCCATTTACTAAGGTTATTTTGAGCAACACAACCATCTATCAAACAGGATACTCTGACATAGCAAGTTACCAGAACTTTCTCACCAGGACATTACAAGCAGAGCTCTCTACGCCCTTTCAACCCTTGTCTCGAGAACCGTCTCAGCCTCCTTGTCGGTCGTACTCATGGCCCGCTCGGCATCGGCCACCTTGCTATCCTCGGCGATCGTGACGCCGAACAACTCGTCCATTTTCTCGAGCGAGAGACCTATTCTCATCAGCATGAACTGTCGATACAAGATGATTGGCCAGGGAAGGGGCGGAGTTACCCTTGGTCTCAGGGATGAAGAACCATACGAACACGCCCATGGAGAGACAGAAGCAGGAGAAGATGATGTACGTTCTTTGACCGGTTAGCATATATCTCAACCCGGAGGATTCCTGGGGGTGTTACCCGTAACCATTTGCACCGACGGTAGCTAGCATATTGGGGACGGCGCGGGCGACGACAAAGTTGAAGAGCCACTGGGTGGCGGCAGCGAAGGAGACGTTCAGGCCTCGCAGGCGGGCGGTGGGGATCTCGGAGACGTAGATCCAGCAGACGGGGCCCCAGCCGAACTGGAAGCAGGCGGCGAAGAGGAAGATGCAGACGAGGGCGACGTAGCCGGCGGGGATGACGGGCTCGCCGGTCTTGGGGGGCGCGATGTGGACGTACAGGCCGATGTAGAGCATGGTCAGGCCCTGGGCGACGGAGGTCCAGAGGAGGGAGCGGCGGCGGCCGAGGGAGTCGGCGACGAAGACGAGGAAGACGGCGCAGCCGACCATCTTGACGATGCCGTAGACGCCTGTGGCGAAGAGGCCGGTGGCGTTGCCGGTGACGCCGAGGTTCTTGAAGATCTGGGGTGCGTAGTAGTTGATTGCGTTGGTGCCGGTCATCTGCTGGCAGACCATGAGGAAGATGCTGATGAGGGCGCGCTTGCGGTTCCCCGGGATCGTCCACATCTCCCGCATGAGGTCCCAGGGGCCCGAGCCGCCGATGAGCTGGTGCTCGTGCTCGAGCTGCGCGACGATGTCCTGGAACTCGCGCTCGACGTAGGGGTGGGTGGGCGGCAGGTGGCGCACTTGGGATAGTGTGGCGCGCGCGGCTTCCCAGCGGTCCTGGCGGGCGAGCCAGCGGGGGGACTCGTTGCACAGGAGCATGCCGACCAGGAGGAGGATGGCGGGGAGGGCCTGCATGGCCAGCGGCACGAGGTACATGGCCGGGCCGGTGATGTGCAGTAGGCAGCCGTAGTTGATCCAGAACGCCAACATGATGCCCAAGGTGATGAAGAGCTGGTACAGCCCGGTCAGACCGCCACGGATGGCACGAGGAGCGTTCTCCGACACGTAGAGGGGGTTGATCATCGAGGCGAAACCGACACCGAAGCCGTTGATCAGTCTGCAAGGACGAATCATTCAGCGAATGCTCCTAACGAGTGTTACGATGGGGCCAGGGGGCCACTCACCGTCCAATGTACAGGGCCTCCAGGTGGCCACTGGCGGCAACCTGCATGATCACACCGAGGATCGCCATAATCGAGGCAGATATCAGACCGGGCTTTCTTCCCCAGCGATCAGCCACCTGCGAAGCGATGAGGGCCCCAAAGAAACAGCCCGCTTGCAGCGTGGAGACAATGTTGGCAGAGAGATTTGCCTGGTCGACCGGACTCAGACCGTTCAGGCCATATTTTCTGGTGACGGTTAGAACAAGCTCTCCATGGTTATGTTTTCGGCAGGTAGACACACGCCATGAAAGGTTTCATAGTGAGGACACCGCCAATGATGCCTGTTTCCATCCCGAAAAGCATACCGCCGAAGCATGCCTACGGACTCGTCAGTCTCTAAATACCGTGATATCGTAGGGCAACTGACCGAGCAGGCAAGCATATACACTCTCCACCCATAGATTTCTTTAGGGTCCTCTCGTATCGCCTCATTGTGGACGAGCTTTCTGAGGATGGCAGACATGTCGACGACGACAGTAGGCTCGTCAGCAGAGGTAAAGAATTAACGACGAGAAGTCGATATAATCTAAGACAGCTGGAACGCGTCTAAAATCCCACGCTCATCCCTGACAAGATGATTGAACAAGACTCCCCTCCCCGTAAGCGAAAACCAAAGGTAATCCCAGATGAAAGAGTCCAGGGACGGCAATGTTTATGTGTCTCTTTACCCCAACAGACATGCCGATCGAATAACCGATCTGGTAATGTATATATAACCGACGGTGTCTGATATCAGTACTGTCACCCTGCAAACGTGTGGGTAATATGACAGCCAGCCACGGAAAAAAAAACGACTATCGCGCTGGAAACTTCCCACGAATTACAGCAGATGATGGTCAGTTCAGGTGCAGATACCTCAGATGCCGAGAACGCCTGGAGCTCGTGGTTAGGACGGGTTGGACGGGGAAAAATGAAGGTCAGAGGACAAGGGTGTATGTCCGTCTGGGCAATGGTAACCTATCGGTTTCGGTAGGATGATAGCGCCATGCTGTTGCTCACTTAGCCAGAGCAACCAGTAGACAGGATCTTTGACCCTGTCCTTTGCGTGATGGCTGATGGTCAGCATGAGGGAGAATAACCGGGGAATGTGGTGTTTGGTCTGCGAGGACGGGGTAGTGTGGGGGTCGACAACGAATGGGATGGGATGATTGAGACTCACCAAGCTGTTTAGAGCTTGATTCCAGCGTGGGGATTGCTGGTTGATGCCCCGAGTCTCTCATGAGTCATGGCACCTGATTTGAAAGCATGAAGCATGGCCCAAGGCTCAATGCAAATGGTGGAACGGCGAGGATATGCCAAGCAGAAACGCGGAGGGGAAACACATAAGCAAGAGCAAGTTTGCGGGGAAAGTAGGGCCGATCAGCATCAATTCGACTTGTTCGAGACGAAAGGTTGCATCTAAGCTGCTTTAGTGCGGCAAGTCGGCTCACTTGGCTGAGGCTAGCGAGTGGGTGATTTAGCCAGAATCGTTCATTCATCCGGTGCTGGCCATTGGGCAGCATTGATATGAAGTAATCTACACGTCTTGGTAGCTACCTGTCTTATCATGCGATTGCTGTTAATCAGTTTCATTTGCGCATTCCCTCCAGGATAGATATTGTAGTGATGCGGTTAGTTTATGGAAGCTCGGAGTAATCCATCGCAATCCTTTGCTTGGCCCTTCAATCCTGCTTCCCCATGATCTGCTTCAGTTTGTTCGGGATGTCTGGGATCCGTTCCCATCTCGCGCGCCATTTCTCCTGTCAGTCGTTGCCGTTTCCTTCAGCTGGTAAGGCGAACACCGCCGTCGCGAACCAAGTATCGCTCCCGGGACTGAGCTTCGAGCCCAGCGAAGGGAGCAGAGTACGACCGTAGATCAGATTCGAGTTGGCATCTGCCAGTACTATCCTGCCTTCTCGATCCACATTCGACTGGAGCTCCACGATGCCAACGGCGCCAACGGAAGAGACCGTGAGCGCACGCCGCGATTCCTTCGAGGTACCTTCGGTTGAACCTGGAGTGAACGGGCCGAGAATGCGGCCGTTGTCGCTGCGACAGCCGTAGATTGCAAACGCACCTTCGTTAACCAAGAGTTCGCGCTCTGTCCTCACCCGGTGAATGCGAAGGTGCCAGTTTTCGGTCTCCTCGGTTGGAGGTATGAGCCACGTATCGACATCAACGTCCTTCCACGGCTTCCAGCCGGAGACGAGCATGGGAACATCATCAAGCCATTCAAACCGGGCGTTTAGTGCCAATCTTCGTGTCTGCCAGATATCGCCCCCATCGTCAGAGAGAGCAAGCATACTATCTGGTGCGTGCTGTTCTAACTGATAGGAGCCGGTGGGAACGGAGTATCCAAACGACGCGCTGTAAGCGAACTTGCCATATTTGGCCTGGGTAGCTTTCAGCGGGTAATGGCAAGCCTGACCAGACGACAGCAGGAACCAGTGTCCACCACGATGAACCATGATGTGCTTGGGGTATTCAAGGGCTGCGACGGCCGGAAGGGAGGCAGTCGGGTAGGGTTCCTCCTGCGCTGACCAGAAGGGATGCGATTCCGGCAACACCAGGGGAACAAATGACAGACAGCACCAGTAAGGAGATCCAGGAGAATTGTAGTTTTCCGTCAAGTACATGTTTGCGTAGGAGTATCCCAGGTTCAAGGTCCCATCACTGTTGAAGATGTCTTCCTGGGTAGCCCACCAACGGAAATGGCGCAGCAAGATACCTTTGACCACTCCCCAGGTCAATGGAGCAGGTAGCTCAACGTCTGCAAAAGCCAGTGCACCCCAGAATCCGACCATGGCAAACCGGTACGTCATCGAGCGTCCAAATGGAATAGCACTGCCTGATCATAGTCAGCATCACTGGTTCTTCAAAATACGAGTGGAGGACCAACCATTTGGACTGAAATAATGGACAAAGTCTTGGGCATATTGCCTCGCACGCTCGCGGTATCTCTCAGCGCGGGGTTGGTCAAAATCACCAGCCAGCTTCGCATACAGCAGCTGTAGAAACTGGATGGCAAAGGAGCCCGAGTAGTAATCCATCTGGTGATGGCTCTTGGGGCCATCATTACTCCAGCCCGCGCCGACGTGGAATGTATCCAGATGATCCATGTCTGCCTCGATACGCGCAAGCGAGTAAGGGGCGTTATTCCTCCGCAGACCCAGATTGGCAAAAACCCGGAACCACAGCCTGTACGATAAGGTAAGAACAAGCCCCCAATCACTTCTGTAACCTGAGACTTACCAATTGGTATTTGGCATCTCGCGCGCATTGATCTGCGCCAGCCAATTCGCAATATTCTCCTTTTGCTTGTCCGTCAACGGATCCCAGAAGACGTGAGGAGCAACCGCCAACGTAAACCCGATAGGACACATCTCCACCATGCGCTAGTCCATATCCTCAATGTCGCCCCAGTACTCCGGACTGTTGGGATCAGTCCCGCTGATAAAGCCCTCGCGCCAACGAGCCGCCTCTGCATAGTCGTAGCCTCCACCCAGCAAGGAACCCAGGGCCCAGAGGGGACGCGCAAAGCCTTCGATCTGGGCGCCACCTTCATCGAACCGGGTCGTCGACGAGCCGATTTTCACACGACTGCAGCCGGGCGTGAAGCGCGGGATGAGCGGGTCAAGCAGCGCTCGACATGCTCTTGGAAGTCGCTGCGTGTGCGAAAGGGAGACCGACTAAAGGCCTGGGTAGGAGTCTTTCCATTGGCGTGGACGGACATTGTGATCGATTGGGCTGTTTGGGGGGTTAGGATCGAGACAATGCGAGAAAAGTCTCGTCAGTGTTGCATGACATTGTTGTCTCAGCGCCTGAGAGTGCCCGTTCATGTTTATATGCCATCTGCATGGCGCTGTTTTCCTAATGACCTATTGAGGAGGGGCGAGTGGGCTGGCGATCGGGGTTCGGAATCAAGTCCGATACGACCACCTCGAGGGGTAAATAGTTCTGACAGCTCTTAGTGATGGATGAATCGCTGATGCAGATTAAGCTGGTTCCATGGATAGGACAATATTTGTCGTTTGGGTTGTTATTGGATGGGTAAATGGGAGGTGCAGAGATGCTCGAGGTACAGTCGGGGCCAATTTAGCCGAAATGTAGGTGGATACGGGCATCACACTGGGTACTCCCTCTACCTTGAGGTTCGCATCATTCTGTCTGGAAACCAATATATTATTCTAATATTCTCAGTGGCAACTCTTCCATAGGCTTTGGTCATGGACTACTCAAGGGCAAGATAAGCATTGCAGTGTCCCAACCCCCAACAAGTACAACCCAGGACCGATAGGTATGATGATGACTCGCCTGCCGCTGAATTGGAGAAGTCTATCCTGATTGCCGAGAGCCTGTGTTCCAGCTCTTCGCTTGAACAGTGAGGAGCAAGGAAATGTCATTGAGAGGTTGATCTTTGGGCACAGTATACCCAAACGACTCTTCTAACTCTTATCCAAGGGACCTCACAGAATAAGACCGACTGGATCTCGAGCGCAAGATGCGACGAACCATGGCTTATGAAGAACCACATTGACACAGACCAGGAAATAAATTCCCGCGATGGACTTTAGAAAGTCTCGAAATTCGAACGACTTGCCGCTCATCTTCAGCACCATCTGGTCCTGTCTGTATGAGGAATCCCCCAAACTTGTGGTCAATCAGATACTGAGCAAGACAGACTCAATTTCAGGAAATACAGGAATCTGATTCAGTATGAGGTTCCGAAACCAGTCATGCTAATAGGACTCTGTCTCCCTAGGAAAATGTGACTCGTTAGTCAATATCTGTCGAAATACAATATGAAGAAGAGACTTGATTACTCCTTTATTGACAATGGTGCTTCTTGACTACGCACCGACAAAGATGAATGAGATTGACCATGCATACTGCACGGCCATCCAGTCCGGTCCACAGAACTGCACCCGTTGTCTTGATCTAATGGTCAAGGCTTTGAGTAGGATGCATATGGGAGATTGTCTGCATCAACAGCATGGCTAGCTTATTGGCGGATGCCATTTGAGTTATGTATTTCATAATTGAGACTGATCTGCTAGGAGCTGTAACAATGGCAAAAGCACCGTGGATATGTCACATCAGCAAGGTACAACGACAGTCGGTATGTTCCGCTGTGATACAGGTTAAATGGATGTATCATCAAGATGCAAGAGGAGATGACAATGTACCTGAAGAATAGCCGCCCTGGGTCAGGAGATATACTACCTAGAACGTAATCTGCGTTAGTCATTGGTAAGAATAACAATCTAAATCATCCGGAACAAGCACGGCACTTTGTCAGTCATCAATATATCCCGATCAAGATGAATTGAAATTAGTTCCTGACTGCAAGCACTCCTCGTAAAGCAGGATGTTTCATGACTGTTTCATGCACTCTGGATTAATGCGTAAGGCAACTGAATTAGTAGTGCACCTGAGACCTGCACCTAAGACCCTGCACTATCGGCTCTGAGATTTACTAGGCGGACTGTTCATGAGTCTGTTGATAAGGTCCTAAGAAGTAAGAAGTACAATCTACACAAGTATGCTGCTACTTGTTGTTGAGATTTTGGATATTTGTGACATGGCCAATGAATATGTTTACAGTTATAGATGCTTAAGAGTGACAAACAGAACTGCTCAAGTTAACCATTCTATGGAGTATTATTTGGAACTCTGGATCCAACTATAACTGTGTAGTTGTAAGGGAGTAATTTCGTGCCTAAGTACAGGTACGGATGGACCAGAACTTGGACTGTGCCATGATCAGTTGAGCACAGTGTCTGCCGAGTTCTGGGAAATTTCATCCAGACACTGTGGCAATGCTTCGTTGATATGTAATCATCAGGGAGTATGGAACTATGGATAAATATTCAGCGTAGTCACCTCAAATGTCATAGTCAATCCGTCAATATTTGAAATGATTCTTGCCCGCGAATGGAGTCAGATGACACAGCCCAATATTGAGACGAAGATACGTGGGTAACTGCTCAATTTTAAGATGGGGGATTAGTTGCCAGTTGCCACGGACTCTCTTCCAAGGTTGAGCAGAGACCGTGTTCACCATGAAAGCTAACCACCCAATCTGAGTGGTGGATTTTCCTTCTTGACACCTTCAACCAACGGATCGGAAATCATCCTGCTGCCCGGTCGCGGAGAGCTTCTTTCTGCCTTGTCCAGTAGGATGCGACCCAAGCGATACCTTATCAATTTTCCACTGGTTGGACCCAAGTACAGATGGAATGGAACTCCAACATTTGGTCCTTGGATGATTTTTGGATCCTCTCGCGTGGAAACGCGACTCTACCGTCCAAACTCCAACCGTGCTTAGTCTTGTCTAATTAATTGATGAGGAAAGCTGGGATTTACTCCGAAGTGTCAAGGTGAAACAGCTAATCGTTGTTCAAGCTGAACTTTCGAACATGCCAGCATTTGATGCTTTCTTCTGTTGTCTATCTACTACGTAGGATATTCAATATTGTTGACTTACAATATGAATGGGAATGGGAAGAATGGCGGATGTAATTACGTACAAAGTTGGTGTTCATGAGAGGATACTTAGTATTATTGCATAGTTCCGACATTCTCCCGTCCAGAATGAGCCATATCGAACTGCCGAACCTCGGGACGTTATCCAATGTACCTAGAAAGGATCAAAGGATCAAAGGATCAAAGGATCAATCATCAGGCAACAAAATCAGGCCCGAATTTAATTGATTCAACCTATCGAAGGATCTTAGAGGAATAGATTATGGATTAATATGTTCAACCGAGAATAAGAAGTGGTCGCACTGGTCGGTTCGACCGGTAGGATGCGGGCCAACAACAATGAACAGCCACAATTGCATCCTTCTGCAGCAAGAGTCTGCTTGGGGTAGATAGAAGATGCTACTTGTCCTTTACCATTATAATCATTGAATTATCGACAGGCATCCCGAAGTACAGTACAGATGGTCGAGTTGATGGATAACAATCGCATGTTGATAGATGTGAATGGCCGGAGCTCAGATTTTGTAAATGGACCAAAACCAGGCCATGAACAAGCATTTACTTCTGGAGACATCCGAAGTTTAAGGATAGCGAAGGTGTTGAATAATATGTCTTCAGATAACAACCTTCAACAATTAGTGTTCTTTCTTGGAGGCAAGGCAATCCCGAGGACTTAGCAGGAATATCCCCACATATAACCACTACTCCTAACATCAACTCGTCATGTCGTAGTATCAAAAAGAAAGTGATGAAGATCCTGGATAAAATGACAATTGATGAGTCGACAGAGCAGGAAATGCAAGGCAAATGACAAGCGCTTGACAGAAAACGCTCCGGGATCGACGGTCGGCTCCCGGAGGAGTGGCAATCCTTGCTCCATTGTGCAAGAGCTCGCGGGTCACTTTGATGAGGACGGGTCAATGGTCTCCATCTTTTGGGGAAGACCAGAGTATCAGTCTAGGTGCAGATCTTAGATTCTATCTATCGCTGTCGCTTGAATCTGACCCGTGCTTATTTTCCGATTAGGGTGTTGTAGCAGAATATCGCGTCCATTGAAGCGAATGACATGCAGTAACTAGGAAAATACCCTAATTGGTACTTGACTTGATTTCGATTTGATTGATCCATCTGACAAGTCAAATATGTTGGTTTCGCAGAAACGCTGGAATCAGTAGTGCGACAAGCAAGGGAATCCGGGGACTAACAAGTTTATTAGAGTATTTGCCTGCAGGTCATCCAGAAAGGTAAAGACCTGAAGGGGTAGTTGGGACCTCACTGATCAACACAGTACGTAGTCGTTGGAGCAGTCAAAGACTAATACGAATAGCTTTTGAGGCCTGTCTGAGATTTCCCGCCGACCGATGCTCCTTAAGGTACCTACCTAGCTTAGGAAGTTACTACTATCTTCACATGGTTACATAGACTGTTGTGACGCGCGGTCCAACTAGGTCCAGCATATGCAAGTCCCTGCATTGTACAGACTGTAGTAAGTATTAATTAAAATCTGTCTGCAGAAAAGACAATGTGGACATTACATCATAGGGTCTTTTCTAAGAGAAATAAAGTATGATGATACCAAGAGGTACAAGTGGATAATTTATTTTTACCCTTTGTTCTCAATTCTTCAAGAATGATCAGCAAAGAAGTTGAAGAACCAGAGTACCATTATTATTATTATTAACTATCTGTCTACTCTGTACTCAGGGGTGCATGAGCATCTCATGATCTCCTATTATTATTATTATTTACCTCTTAAGTACTACCCAAGTAGTGACCCACTGTTGGTCTCACTGGATCCGTGGCTTTCCTGTTCCTTTGACTTTCCATACTCCATAGAAAAATTCGCGTGCAGTTTCCTGCCCCACTGATATCACCCTCTCTGCACTTTTACTGGTAAAGAATTGCGAGTTCCCTTCGCTTGGTGAATTTTAACCTTTGTACCTTTTTCTCTGGTGTTCTGAACTAGAGACTTTTGGGAATTTTGATGATGGTGGAAATGATCAACTGGGAACTTCCTCCGTCGTTAGTCCATCCATACTGACTCCTGCAGAGTTAGTCCGTTTTTCCCTCCTCTCTCTTCCTCTCTCTGTCTACCGATCGAATTATTGTCTAGTCGGCCATCCATCATATCATATTTTTTATTACCGCATCCAGATTATTGATACTACGTACTCCATATGGGCTAAATTTCCATTCCCTCTGACCATCCCCTCAGATCCAATCATTATCTTCAGCCCCATCGACTATCTACGGCCTCCTGAACACCGGCTCGGACACCGTCGCAAAAAAAAGTCGTTTACCATCCAGGATATCTCCAGGTTCCAGGCTCTTCCTGATCCTAACCCTTTTACACGATCATACATTATTATTCTCTAAGGCTAGGTATGGTGTCACTCTCTCAGTCCCTCGCACTTTCTCACATGTCTCTTTTGATCTCTTCCCTATCATCAATTCTCTGCCCGCTGCCTCCTTAGCCCTATCATTCTATCCCTGGAGCTTCAACTACCAGCAATAGTCTGTCGTCTTCCCTGACCCCTGCTCAATTTCTTCCCACAATTCAATCCGTTCATCGGGACTTTCTTTCCTCTTCTCCCCACTGGTCCTAACTTTCTTCTGGTTCTTCTCCCCACTTGGTTCACCTAAATAGTAAATCGCTCCTACGTTTCTACGTCCCCCTTCCCCTCAATCGCACTACCACCTTCATCACCGCTACGAGGAACTATTGATAATTGAAACTTAACATTCTCGGTTACTCATGATTCTCCTGTTTCCCCAGGAATAGCCTCTCTCCTTTCCGTGGTCCATGTGGAAACATAATCGACCGTCTTCCAGATCGGATTCCAAGTCTGGGAACGTCGATTCAGGCCATCTAAATTTGTCTGAGTTTGGCTTCTTTGGTCGCTCCAAAAAGAAATCTCCGCTTTGTGAGTACTACCCTACTATCTTCTACAGTACTTGGAAGCCTCTTGGGTGGCTTTTGTCTCTTTTTTCTTTTTTCCTCTCTCTCTTCGTATTTGCAATCCTTTTTCGGTCCCTTCACACTTTTCCTTGAATTATAATTTTTTTTCTGCGTCAATTATACGACTGCCTATTATAATTTACTACTACATCGGAACTTTATTCCCCTTTTTCCTCTCTCTCTAGTTCCCTGCCTCCATCCTCCTGTCTCCTGCGTTGTCAATCCCAACTATATTCGACACGGGGAAATCAAGCAGTCGAGAAATAGTGGCACCACCAGACCCTCAATCGTCGTTGTTGCCATTGGTGTCCTTACTGAAAGTCGGACCAGCGGACCGTTTCTACCACTTACTGACGAGTATCTGCAACCTTTTGCGTGACCTGCAGATTTCCCCTCCCGGCCCGAGTCCCCCTCGCGTTCCCCTCTAAGGAGCTTCCGTTCCTTCTCCCGTTCTCACGCAGATCGGCCGGGAACCGGTGCATCTGGTCAAACGGACACTTCTCGATCTCGTGCTCCTTCCACTGTTAGCACTTCGCTTCAATCTAACCATCCTGGCTTGAGCTGGCAGTCGACCACCGGCACAAACTCTTCGCGAGCATCATTCAACTCTAGATCAGGTAGACCAATGGCGGGGCTGATGGACGTTGACCGTAGCCGTACCCGAAGGGATAGAACGTTTGTCGGTAGTGAATGCGCCGTATGCGAGGAGCCACTGGAGCATACCCTGCGCGGAGAGCGGGTCCTCCAGTTCTCCTGCACACACGTGGCGCACGAAGCCTGTTTCTACGAGTATATCAAGGAGTTTGAGGGCCAATATTGTCCGACCTGTGATGCCCCATTAGGGCTGGACACCAGCCGCGGCGGTCATGTACTTGACATCGGTAAGCGAAAGATGCACTTCGGGCAGCATAGTGATTGCAATTGCTGGGATACTGACCATCCTCATTGTAGAAAAATTGAGCAACATTGTGCGTTCGGTGACTAGCGATGCAGCCACGCAACGGAGTGGTTTGACCACCCCAACCCCGTGGGATCAGCCGTCAGCTCGTGGGCGAGCACCCAGCGAGACGGGAAGCAGGCCATATAACAATCGCGACAGTCGGGACATCTGGGCGAGAAGAGATAGCCGCGATACGGGCAGCCATCGCGAGCGCGAGCGGGTGGAGCGGATGACCACAGGCTCACGGCAACAGCATTCCAGAAATGGAAGTGCTGCAGGATCGTCGGGCGACTACGATGCTCAGCAGCAGAGCAACGGCAGGCGACATGATTATGACGTTCAAGCTATGGAATCCGATATTAGCCCTCGCGCGGCTCCCATGAAGAACCCCATCCCCGCCCCCACGGTGACCATCCGCAGCGAATTCCCCACGCTCAATCGGTCCAGACAACAGCAATCTTTGACATGCTTGGTCACGGTGGAAGTTCCCGAGGGGGTATGGCATCCAGATTCGGACGACTTGCGACAAACTTCGTCGGGTGCGTCGCAGCCGCAGGATGAGCCTTACGGCGGCGTGGTTCGCTTTCCCACTGCGGATACTCGATCCATCCAATACGAACCCCAGGAGAACCTTGACGAAATCGCCGAGGACTTGCGGACGCGAGTCGACAACTGGCACGGCCTTGAATTTTCACGGTACGTTTTCTTCCAGACGAGGTTCTTCATTGGCGGATACTGATTGATCTTTAGGTTCGGAAAACTCCGCTTGCATGGACACATGCGCGTGGGCAAGGATCGTGAATCATGGCAGGATCTGGAGTGCTATCTTTTCGCTGAGATGCTTATTTGTATCAAGGAAAAGAAGACAAATGCTCATCAGTATGATGATCAGTCGAAGCGCAAGACTCGGAGCTCGCTGAAAGGCTCGATTCTTATCAAGAAGCATCTCAAGTCTATTGAAGCGTCGCCTGGTAAGCTGACATCGATTTTAAGAAAGGGTACTGGATGCTGACCACCATAGATGAACCTGCCCTCACGCTTAATCTATCAGTCAGCGAGCTTCCTTGCTTCTACCTTCGCTTCCAGAGCCGAAACGAATTGGAGATCTGGCGTCGAGCTCTACGCGATCTTCATAACTCTGATGCATTGTCCCGACACGCCGACTATGACCTGGATCATTCTGGAGCTGAGGAGGAGGACTACCGGGCCAGCCAGGTCAAACGACAGGCGTCAATAAACTCATCCTACGGTGCCGGCCGGTCCAACAACACAGCCATCACGGATTACACAACCGGTGCAGATAATCTGCCCACTTTGAGTGTCCACATACCTCTCGATATTGTGGTTGTTATTCCCGTTTCTTCGTCCATGCAAGGGCTGAAGATCACTCTCTTGCGGGACGCACTCAAGTTCATCGTGCAAAATCTTGGACCCCGAGATCGTATGGGATTGGTGACTTTTGGCTCCAGCGGTGGCGGCGTGCCCCTTGTTGGAATGACCACCAAGTCGTGGGGTGGATGGAACAAGATCCTCAGCTCCATTCGACCTGTCGGACAGAAGAGCCTTCGTGCGGATGTTGTCGAAGGTGCCAATGTTGCAATGGACTTGCTGATGCAGCGCAAGTCCAACAACCCCATTTCCACGATCCTCCTGATCAGTGACTCCTCCACTTCCGACCCCGAAAGTGTCGATTTCGTGGTGTCTAGGGCCGAAGCTGCTAAGTGAGTTCCTCCATCACACCAAAATTTAAGAACGTAGATCACTGACCATTTGCAGAGTGAGTATTCACTCCTTCGGTCTTGGACTGACTCACAAGCCCGACACAATGATCGAGTTGTCCACTCGGACAAAAGGCTCGTACCTGTACGTCAAGGATTGGATGATGCTTCGAGAATGTGTTGCCGGCTGCTTGGGCGCACTGCAAACCACTTCGCACCAGAACGTCAAACTGAAGCTTCGCCTTCCTGAGGGTTCGCCTGCGAAATTTGTGAAAATTAGCGGGGCTCTCCATACAACCAAGCGCGCTACAGGCAGGGATGCCGAGGCGGCTCTCGGAGACCTTCGATTTGGGGACAAGCGTGATGTGCTGGTACAGTTGGTCATCCAACCAGACAACTCCACGCAGGAAAGTATGCCGCAGGACCCCTGGGAAAGCCTGGTGTCTGGATTGGAAGCTCTCGGAGGTGGCTCCGATGCAGACGAGCAACGCGTGCTGAGCGTCGAGGAGGTTCCTTTGATCCAGGCGGATCTCACTTACGGTGATCTCCTCCGTGATGGTCACCTGACTCACTCGCCTCGTCCGTCACTGCTTACCGTGCCCATGCTTCCATCCAATCCGAGAGCCAAGAATGGCCGACCTTCGACACCACCCATTCCTCCTCACCCGTCCATTGTCCAGCGGCGCATGGAGTTGCTCACGTCCGACATGCTGACCCGAGCCTTGACACTTGTGACTCGGTGTCAAAATGATCGCGCACAGCATCTCTTGACCGAAACACGAAGCATTCTTAAGGGTCTCGGTAAGGGTAGCCTTCCGCCTCTACCACCAAGCGCTGTAAAACCGGCCAGTCTCGGCGATGCTGGAAGTCGCGTTGAAACTCCCACATCGACATCGCCGAGATCCTCCAACTTCACCGAGAGTCAGTCGTCTGTCACATCAGATACCGCGACTATTGCCCCTGTTGCCGCGGTCGACGCACAGACCATCACAGCGCTGGATGCGGACTTGACGTCGGCAATGGAGTGGATCAATCACCCTGCCGTATTTGGGCGAGACTCGCGCAAGGCAGTTCTGCAGGCGATTGGAGTCATCTCGTCGCAGCGCGCTTACACATATCGCACGCCATCCGAGGCTCACTGGGCACAGCGAGTCGCGGGAATCCGACGATTGACTGAGCGGTCAAAGGAGTGGCGCGAGACTGGAGACGATGCCTTGACAGAGGAGTAGTCAGTTATCTGGATGATTCTCTCCTCTTTGTTCTTGGTGGTGTTACCTTTTGTCTTATTCTACCGTTTGATTAACCTTTTTTCAACCCCCTTGTACTTAATATTTGTTCTTATCTGGTTACCCGGCTGAGTTGGCAGGCTATTTCTTGTTATGATACCACTTTGTTCAACCATGACGGCGCAGCATGATACCACGGATTTCCCCTGTTTATATCACCTTGTCTGCATCTGATGTTCTTTTCCTGTGACGAATATACCTGTTTATAAATCGCCTAATCATGCTTTTTAATGCTATTTGGTCAGCGGCTGGTGGGGATCTTGGATATGGATGACCTGTACGTTCTCAGTGGTGGGAGGTTATTCATTCTTCATCGCACCTTTGCCTTTGGTCTTGTTCTTCAAAATGGTTACCCTTTTGATGTCCAAGATAACCTCCATTTAATTTCATATCTGTAAGCGAGATTTCTGGAATGTGGCATACACCAAGACTTTCAAGCCCCGGTTGAATTCGTGGGCTGCTCATTGTTCATCTCTATGAGTATAGAAGAACGGTGTCAGTCATTCATTGCTGCAAGTCTGCAATAGACAACCTTGACGGCCCGCAGCCAGCTATTCATGGGAGACTGCATTGCCCACGCATAGCAGCGAAAAAACCCATGATCTACAACATGCGAGCGCCACGTCAGAAAATCAAACGATGCGCGACAGCTCGACAGTTAGTTGATGTAGAATAGAAACTGCCAGGGCATGTATTTACCAAGACGTACGGTATTGTATCATACCGTACAACCCATGAATGCGATCACATACTATTGCACTGAGGATTCTCGAGTTGTACAGAAGCGCTGTGCAGGTGCTGACGATTCTATAATTATCTGTAACCTATAACGAGGAGAAATGAAAAGCGGCAGAGCTACGAGCTGATTGAGTGAAAGCACAGAAGAAAAATTAGACGGAAAGTGGTGGTTGTGTCAGGCCAACGACCTTATCCAATAACAGCACATTGCTGAGCATATGTCACTTTCCTGAAGATCCTCCATCCCAAAGGAAGAAGGGTGATCTCAAGTGCTAAATGATTAACCTGCATATAGCAGGATAAGAATAGAAGTCTGCGATGCGCCGGTGAGTTTCTGGTGGTGCGCATGTAGATTGTACTGACAGTCTACTTTGCTGTGCTTGGTCAATTGGGTGTTTCAAGGCAGATAGCAGACGTCCCCCTAGCGCAGGGGAGGATATCTCATTCAGCCAGTGGGAGAGGCCAATTGGTATGACTAGCTTTAGACTTGGGTTCGGGCAGCGTTACGCCCTTTCTGCACTTGCAGTTGCAACTTGCATCCTTCTTTTCATGATGATATCAGGGTATGGAGTAACTTTCGGGGATGTCTACTTGAGGTGCCGTTGATGATGGATGAAACCAACGATTGAGGGCTCGATCAAGAAGAGGGGAAATTCTAACCACCGCTTCTTGCTGTTTGTTCTTTTATTTCTTAAATGGCCTGGTTATCTGTCTTGCTCGGTCTAGCAATATGCCCAATACATGAAGAGGTGAGGTGAGGTTGATGATCCAAAAATAGCCCGTGTCAGGATCCCTGTCCCCGCGATTATTCATGCAGCCAGACCCCTAAAAAAAGAAACTGCAGCCGCGACCAATCCAGCCGCGAACCCGGATTGGCTGCTTTTGACCTGAGGAACAAAGGTGGGCAAATTTAGATCGACTCGGACTTGTATCTGTCATCGATCTCATAAATTGATTGGGTTGCTTTTCAACCACAGCGTTTAAATGTGCAGATCTCATTGTGTGCATTGATTTGGGTTAGCGGGCTTCTTTTTATAGACTTGCTTGCATTATCATCCATCTTTCTAGCATCTCATGCTTATGAGCTCTCTGCCGGAAAGTTTGCGCAAGGCCTCTTATAGGGATGTAGTCCAAACTGCTAAGTCAATAGCATAGCAAGGTCGTCGAGTTGCCACCGTATACTCGTATACTATTAGGAGGATGGTACGTCTAGGAATCAAGGCTCGACGAAAGACAGGCCTCTCTAAATCAAACCCTTGAAATATCCTGGCATAAGCTCCAGACGACCGGCGCTTAAAAAAGTGTTCTTGTGCATCTCATGATGCTAGCGCTATGCTCTTTGTATGGATTGTGACAGTCCAAAAATAGATCCTCAGGCGATTAGCTCGATGCATGCAATGAGTATGATGATATGTAGGGCCTCTGAACCTTCATTTTATAGCGTCTCGCTGAGATGGATGAACAACATTCCATTTAAGCAAGAAATTAGAACCAGAAAGCTGTGAGGTGCCTCCTCGCAAGCGGTGCATGGAAAGAGTATCTCTCGAGCACTGTAGACTGCTACCTGAATCACCGCAAGTATACTCGCACTGTAGATAAAGCGTTTCACCGCGAATAGAAGCATTCGATGTTCTGCAGACTTTTCAGGCGCTTCCCCGCAAAAGCGCATATCATGCCGGAGAATATACTTGAGAGAGACAGTGTTATTAGGGGGCTATCCAAGCGCAGCTTGAAACACGTGCCTGAATACGCTGATCTATACAACTGATTGGACCGTGTATGTTTGATTGGCTCTAGTTAGAGGTCTCATGGTGGATCGCTTCCGTGACACATTTGCACTTGGGTCTTCTGAGCTGATCTAAGAGTGTAGAAAACCGTACCTGAAGCTTGAAATCGCTATGGCCATGGCGGGAAATGAACCATGGCCTGAGAGTACCGCGCGCTTTGAATGAATGAACGATATATTGGCCCCCAAACGCAGTTCAGGGTATCAAAACAATCGCCAGGAACAGGGAATGAAGGATAGAGTACGACTACCTGAGACGTGATTCGGCCGCGTGCAAAACTGTTTGATGAATGTCCAGTGTTTTGCTGTGCGCCTCTGTCGGTTTCGACTTGAGCAGTGGGGGCAAAGATCCAAAGTAGATAGTGGTATATATTCATTGCAAAATCCCTTTGATCATTGAACCTTCCAATTGTTAAACTTATGCGTTGGACATTGTTCACAAGTCAAATACGGTGACACGGTCATCTTCATTCTTCAGGTGAACGGCTGGGGCTGATTGACCGCCTCGGAAGAGAGACCGATCAGGAAGATCCTGCCCTACGCCACTTGGCAATCCTTTTTACCATAACACACAACACGAGCAGGCTGTGCAAGAGCTGGAGCATCGAGAAAAACAACCAGATAGGCCAGGATTCCTAACTCTGGTCTTTCTTTAGCAGTTTGGCCTTGTACGTTGTGGGTCAAGTGGCATTGCTATTTTGGCCAGCTGAGCAGGCTAACTTATTCTGGTTTGGTCTAGTACGCGGTGTATTGATACTGTCTGGTACAGCATTAATTACGGAAACTTACAACATCATCATCGGTCTACTATAGAAGCAGCACTTCCATCCGGTCTTTATCACCAGATCTTCGAGACGCTATTTTTTTCTGGAGTTATTACTCTATGGTGTGGAGCCATCCCAGGCACCAAATCTTTCTATCACTCAATTCATCACTACAAAGCTCCGGCCAGCATTTGTCTCTACAACCAGCCGTACATTTGACCTAATATCAGAGCATCTCAAGCCTCATACCAACCTACTGTTGCACTCTCTACCTCCTGTTTTGCTCCTCAACACAATGATGGCTCCCAAGGCAGGCCTGCCACCAAGCATGGCAAAAGACCTGACCTTCCCCTCCGAGCTGCGTGAGCCGCACACCACAAGATACCTCGATGCCAGCAAAGCAGGCAAGAAAGAAGAACCCAGCGAAGACCAAACAGAAAACATCACACCTCCTCCAGCATACACCGAGTTCCTCGGCACGTTCAGCCCCATCTTCACCTCCTCAACAGACTCACGCGCCAGTTTTGCAAAGTACATGCTCGACAAGCCCCGCCGTTCACCAACGTCAGCGCCATCCAGCGCAATCAGCTCCTCGTTTTTCGGCAGCACCACCAGCAGTCGCAGATGCACACCAGTGACGCTTCCTCCGCTCACGCCTGCTACCCCTTGCTCCGCAACGGCAAGGAGCCCGGACTATCTCCGGCGGCTGCGAATCCCGCCGCCGTATCACGTCTCGCCTGCGTCGGCAGTCGTGACCCCGCGCAGCGCGCAGTCGCTGTCAGGCCGATCGCTGTACTCGCCGTCGGAGTGGACGGTCCGTCAGGTTGAGTCGCCGGTTAGCCAGAACGGGGAGGTCAGTGTACGGCATGTGGTGACGACAACGATTACGTTCAAGCGTGCGCCTCGGCTTGAGCCGCCGCCTCCTGGGAAGAGGAGGCGGAATGCAACCGATGCTCTGAGAGAGACATGATCAGATTGATGAATTTCTGTTATTTAGCTGGATTACTTTTTTCCTATGTTGTTTGGGTGGCATGTCTGGCAGGTTGATGATTGATCATGTTGGATTCTATATGTTGTGATTCTACAAGCATGAGCTTCTTTTGTTCTGGACATGTCTGTTAGATTACCTCTATTTCCTTTCCTAGCGTTATGGTATTAGGGGCTCCTGCATATGATGGAGTTAGTTAGGTATGGGTAGGTAGCACGGAATGGCACATGAGTGGATGTGTATGATTATAACTTCACCTTTCCCTCCATACAACGTCCGAACATATATGGCCGTTGGTTATAGTGGGTAAATATAGAACTCGGGCCACTAACCTATGATGCATAGTACAACAGGCAAGAGCTTAGAGCATAAACATGAATCAATACTGGGAGTGAATCCTGAAGGATCATTTCCACATGATGCCGCACGACACCATGCTCAGCCAATACAACAGCAGGCAAGAACCAACACAGAACCAACATACATGCGACCCGACCCATTGGTAACTCCATTTCACAAACAGTTTCGAAGCAAGACTACCATTACTATTAGGGGCTCGAGCGTATCCGACAAGGACATATTTAGCAGCCTTCTGACACTTAGCTATCACATGGCGTCCTCGTCAAGGTATAAAATGGTTGTCTTTGCACTCAGTTTACTCCGTACAATTTCAGCCCTCAGGTCAGTATATTAGAAACATCAACAAATGGTATTCAGCCTATGCCCTAGAAATATAATATCAATCAGATAGCCACATGTCATTGAATTTTGAACGTAAGGAGTGAATAAGAAGGATAAATCTCTGTAGTCGACTCAGCGACCACTAATACGAATATCAATTAACATGTAAAGAGGGTATAGAATATTGAAAGTTATGGAAAAGAAGAAGAGTGAAAGAAGAATAAGAATAAATGTGAGGTTGAAGAGAATAGAAAAGAAGAACATAGAGGAGGAGAAAAGGAGGCCAAAGAAGAAAAGCAGGACAACAAAGGGCAGAAGTAGTTGAAGAAACAAAGCGTTAGAAACATCCCATCATGATGTGTACTTGCCAGCACATCAAAATTGTAATATACGCCATGAGACACTGCCATGTTGATCCGGAGTATCCAGTCAATGGATAAAGCCCCAGGTCTCGTATAAACAGCTTATATCAACAAGTAATCCCACTTCTTGCGTTTCATCAACTCTCGCCAATGGATTTGTTGCTCCGAAGGCTGCAGTTCTGAGCTCGCACCGTTTTGGCCAGAATTACGACTTCCCGTACTGGCCGATGGTGAAGTCAATGGGTCATTTGAGAGCTTCCAGAGCTCCTGAAGTACTCGGTACATTCGTCCGATGCTGCCGAAATTTCCCAGGTATCCCAACGCCGCGATTCTGTCAGTCAAGATCTTGCGGAACCCGCTGTATGGCACTGAGTGTGCGCCTGCAATGAACAGTGGCCACACAAGAGAGCGATCAAACCCCAGGGCCCCTGCTGGCAAGCATTGCAGAATCTCCCCAACAGCCGCTACTAGAATGATGTTGTTCGGGTCGTACAAGCCAAAGCCAGGCATGAGGCTGTAAAGATATATACGTGCGGCGGTGCGAAATAACGCTGTGACGACCTTTGTCAACTGATCAGGTTGGACAACCCCAGAGGGTGAATACGGCACATCGAGCGTTCGCTCCGCTGGCTCGGTCCAGTCAAGCTGTGCGCTCAGCGCAGAGACGTGCTGACATACAGCCATATCGTCGACTCGTCCTTCAATCTTGAGTGACTCCAAGCAAGCAATCTCCGAAATCAAATACATGATGCGATCATCGCAGCCCATAACTTGCTGTAGACCGGATGCGATGCCACTGAGATGCTTGGTGCGGTAGGTGTGAGCAAAATGTGGAGTCTGTCCCATCATTGTGGCTCCCAGAATATCAATCCATGTGATAATGGATACACTGAATTGGGTCGGCGCGCTGGTTGGCTTGTTGACAAGATTGGACACTGCCTTAAAATGTGTGTTCCATGGGATATCCGGCAGATAATCATCCGGCTCACCGACAGAGCAGTGGTAAAAGATCATGGCCAGCGTTGCATCCAAGACGTGTTCGTGGCTTGGTCCGTCACTCAGTGCCCGACAGAGCTGCGAGATTGCTTCATAACGATGTCGCATGATGTCGTGGTCCATCTCATCCGTCAGTCCCCGGCTTGTTTTGAGGTGAATGGCAGAAACACTGAGACAACAGTGGAGGTATGATCGATTGTTCTGCAGGTAGTTGAGAATCTCTCTAGCACGGACAAGGAAGGTCTGCTGGTGAGCTTCAACGATAGGGAAGACTAGCCGGAGGACATTATCCAAGAAGTGATTGAGAAGTGACCGATCGTTATCATCCAGGGGAACCGTGGTCTGCAGGTACGAGGATAATGGCCGGTCTGGAAAAACTAGCCCCGCAGGGCTCACAGGGCTGTAATTTGGGGTCCTGGTTGCGTAGCTTGGGAAGCAGACCTCCGAAGGTAATTCTGGAATAGTCGAGTAAGGCTGTTGCGGGATCAGAGAACCGAATGCTGACAGGGAAGCATTATTTGTGAGAGGCGCGTTGTTGAGAAAAGTTTCATGATTAGTTCTGATATCGAATTCGTACGGAACGACCGGTGTCATTAGCGAAGTTGTCAACGGGTTGTACTGCTCGACCCAGAGCGGGCGGTTAAAGTCGTACTCCACAGCAACCGTCGCAGGTTTCTGACTGAGTTCACGGATTCGTTCCATGTATTCTGCGCGCACAAGGGTGTTAGGATAGTGGCAGGTGCTGCTTTATATGCTCAGCGTACCTTGCAGTGACCCATGCTTCTCCATTGTCTTTGTCTGTCGAATTCGATCTTTGATCCTCTCTTTCTGCACGCGCCGTTGGTCGACGCTGATCCACCACAGGGGTGGCTTGTAGTCGCATTTCAATCCCAGCTTCGTGCATGCCTGGCAAGACGGACGGGTCTCGTCACACTTCTTTCTTCTGACCCGACAAGTGTAGCAGCCTGTTCAAGCATATTAGAACTGAGATAATCGATCCAGGGGAAGAGAGGAGCCTCGCTGAAAGAGAGCATGGCTATCTAATGAACATTACCTGAGCGGGAGCGTCTGTATGACTTGCTCTTCGAATCCTCTGCCGGGTCGTCGACGACAGGAATGCTCAAGGCAGTCATGCTTGCAGCGGCAGGATAGGCCATGGTCGACGGAGCGTAGGACGACATGGTGACGCTTGAGTCTTGATGGAAGGGAGTCGCAAGTATGATGAAGCAGTGAAGATACTTGATCAAGGCTTGGTCGATGGCAATGAGCTTTCATATGATTGACAATTGACCTGAAGACGACTGCACCATTGAAGTGAAGAGGTACTTGCACGACAGGACTGCAGTGTATGCTGTCATCTGAAGCAGCAATGTTTCAGAAGACGAGGTCGAAACAATGCAGGACCAAGAGGGTCTTTATGAAGACATGCCGTCGTGATATCTGAAGGATGAAGGCATCATGCTCAAACAAGACCCATGCAACCCCATGCTTCTATTTTTTGCCATCCCAGGGGTCAGAAGAACGAGCATGATGTTTCAAGTTCTGATAGAAGATGAGTGGAGACTGGATGAAGCCAGACAGCAAATCAGTGACGACCGAAAGAGGGAATGTATGTAGAAACTAGAAAGTAGGAGTGTGATAGACTGATGAAGGCGTTGAAAGACATAGACCGTAGGAGGAGAAAGCAGTAGTTCGGCGCTGATCCAGTCGCCTAGTGACAGATTAGATTGCTAGACGCGCTGATGGCTGCAGGGATCAGCCTGTCTTGGGCGGGTGTGTTCAAGGTTCCTGTCAGGGTCTGCCATTTCTCTCTTAGCGCGGTCTTGTCGCCGGCTGCAGTTGCATGCTGATTGGTTGTCTTGCATGAATCTATCTTAATTATGCACTACTATCTGCACAAATATTATTACTCCTTTACTTTTCTTCCCCTATGATGCTGTGAACTTCTATTCCTCTACAATTCCTGGCAGTATGTACTATGGCATACTCATGCAAAATTTTCGCCATCGTTATCATACTATCAATCGTCTGGATAGTGGAATACAAAATGACAAATAATGATGATGCTTGAGTCGCATGGCTGTGACAAAGGAAGAACTTTCGACTGATCGATTCTTTCCTGAGTTTCCTTTATCCAATCAGCAATGGTGTTTTCACGGTGTCAAATGGTGGGGATCGGCCCATGCAGAAGCGGGGCGGATCTAGACGTGACAGTTCAAGGCTCAAGCACCAAGTTCCCTTAATTAGTAACATTTAACCGCCAATACTGCATGTTGGGACTAATTTGCTGTGTATGATGTGGCGCTTCTATTGGCTGAATTTGACATAGAGATATTTATATATAGCTAAAAGATCTATTTTCAGAGCCTTTTAATTCTATTTTTAAATCAGGGCAAGTTGTCATAATTAGTAACATTATTACGCGGGGACGGCGGGGTATAGCCGAAAGCTCGGACACCAGGCGGGATATTCCATGGCCCCACGCGGAAGAATCGCTAATGCCAATTTGAGGAGAACGAAGATGACAAGAGTATAGATTCAAAAGTGGCCGGATTAGGAAATACGAATGGTTCTCACCTGGTACCAAAGGTTGGACTTTTAACGCTCGACCGTTTACTATGGATCAATTTGGTCATTGCCTGAGACTCATGCGTGACTGCTACAGCTACCTGTTTTCTAGCACTCTCATTTTCGTCAACCAAGGCGTACTCGGATACTCCCAATAGATCCAACATATGACTGAAGCAAGCGCAACGTCATCAGTATCCCGAGGATATGGTTCATGCACTCCGATGAGGTTCTCAATCAGGTTCATTCTTTAACCAAGGTAACCATGCATGCATAGAATATTCTTTTAATAGTTTGCTTTTAATAGCATCCCTCGGAAGGAGATATCGTTATGTGTGCATGCTGCCTCAAAGCAGCCTATGATGTTTGTTAATTTACCAACAATCTTGGCCAGCTTAACCAACATTTTCGAACCCTTCGCCATCATAGTGCGCTTCCTACGCCGTACAGGTACTACATGGAACTACCAGCCTCTTCTGAAGCAGAGCTGACGCCAACACATTGATGTCGCTTCGATGTCGCTTGTCGAAATCCTCTTCTGAGCCATGATGTATTTGTCATCTCTATATGACCAGAGTTCTGATGCACGAATAAGGTCTAGATGTGAGCTTGATTGGGACTTATGGAATTGTTTACTTGCGCCCAGATGCAAGGAGCGACGGGTTGAGGATCCTCATAACCTGTGATTAAAGCTCGGAGAAAATAGCGCTCAGTCGGAGCCAACGAAGGCCCAATAACCATAGGTTGAGTCTCATGAGTACATTATTGGTACGCAAGTGCAGAGTGACTGTCACATATCACAGTCCGAAGGATCATTGCCCCGCTTCTGGCGTCACCTGATTTTTCCTGCATGTCTGTGGTGAGATTTTTCTCGTCGTACTTAGTCTACTGTTGCTGGAGATCAGGGGTCTCCCTATGCTCATACATCTAAGCTTGATTACGGAAAGTAGAGTTCCAAGTCGAAAGGAAGGTTCTTGTTTGTCACTCGGAACGTAGGAAAAAGGCAGAATACCAGTCTGACCGGAAGAACCGTATGGTCGATTTGGCTACACTCGGTCTTATATCCTTTTCCACCACTCCAGCCACCTTTTCGGTGCTGTCAACGACGGGACGATTTTGTAGTGCTGCATGATTGTGCTCGCCTTGCAGCAGCCGACTGCAAGTTGCCAAGGTAAGTATATAAGTAGCTAGTGTAGGCATGTACACCGTTGTCCAGCCATTACCAGCGCTCAATGTCGTCCAGATAAATGTATGCACCGAGTACTCTGCAAAGGGTAGTCCTCTGCTATATTGGCACTGAAGAACCATGATGGAGCTTGTGACCTGTCCAAGGCAATAATGTAGAATCGCAGTCGAACGGGAGAGTCAAGTCACCAGAGCATGGGTTGAGCAGTAAAGGGAAGAATTCTTCTCAAGGATCGAAGTTGGCCCTGCTGTGGTATTTAAGATTCTCGGTAGGAGCCAGTCAAGGCGCTCAAACTGAAGTCGAGCATGTTGGATTGCTCCTTCGCGCCGGTGCTTTTTCCGGTAGTGGACTAGCCATCGACAGCGACGATGAGAGCATTCGAGTGTTTCAGGATTTTGAAACCAGATCAAGATCCTATTGGCAAATTCTGGGGCATCACCTCTTTGCTTTTCCACGAAGTTCAAGGTATATTGACGCCCGATCGAGGCCCTTTAGGCGAATGGCGTGCAAGATTCGGTGTGTACTGGAGGTGGTAGCTTTCGGCCAGTCAGGCAAGCAAGGATCTCTATTGGAGAATCAGTACGAGGCAAACGCTTCGGTCACCATTTTCATCTGGATCATGGACGCTGATTGCCTGCGATAACTCATAGTCTGACATTCGCTCGCTCAAGTCCGTCAGTTAGCGCCAAGCAGCCCGACCAGGCGACCAGTCAGAACCCCAGTCCCGCCATGGCCTCCCTCCAAGGATGGGCGCTTACAGCAAGCAGAGAACGGCTCCCGTTCGACCTCTCATCTTCCTCCATTCCATATTTTTGCTTTTCCTCTCCGTGAGACGCCCGTGGCAGCGCCTATCCATTGGACAGGAGCTTCCTGGAAGGAATGTCTTCGGCTTTCAACTACTGCAGGATGGTCACTCTTCATCACCTCTCATCCTAGTTGCTCCCCTTGAATATCCCCAGCCATTCGCTGGAGCAAGCAGCCTGTCACCAGTCATCTCATGAAGTCACTGCCGCTACGTTTCACCATCTCTGCATGTCACGGATCTGGTCCTTACCAACTTCCCATTCTCTGCAAAATCATTCGGTCTGCGCTATCTTCTAGTCACCTGGGCCGTTTCAACACCCCCCGCCATTCCCTTGGTTGGGCTTGCTCAGACTCGCTCCTCTGATATACTTAACCCTCTGGCCGGCCCCAAGTCCCCTCCTATTTTGACTCTTTTCACATCTTTTCTGTCACTGCATATCATACTGCTCATTCCTGGATACCCCTTTTGCTTTGCTATTGCTTTCATTTACCTTGTGTTTGAGGCATCGAATGGTTTCTCCATAGAAATACCCACTGGTCACCCAAAACCTAATTATCTCAACATAATCATTGACTCCTAGCTCTCAGCCAATCTCTGGCATAACTCACACTCATCATGGTATGTCAGATCTTTCGGGAAAATGAACTCGGTGTTAACTTCATTGTAGGATTCCCTACGCTACCGACGCAAGGCTGTGCCTGCATCGCTCAACATGAAGAACACAGAGCAATTCCTCCCTGCTGCAACGTTTGTACACAAACGTATTTCCGACGCCACGAATTTCGATGATACAGATTTTGAATTCAGCGATACGGAAGAAGAATCTCCGCGCATGAGTATGGGTTCGGTAAGTCGAAGGATCTCGCTTCCTTTTGCTGCATTATTGCTGACAAGATTCCTCGTCAGTTCGGCTATGACAGTAACTCGTCACTTTCCACTCCAGACCTGCCGACTCCAGACAATGCCCCCAGAGAACCATTCTCATGGAAGTTAGACAAGAGGATTGAAGGTCCTACAGGCCCTCACCTATTCAGAGACTCGCTCCTTTCTTCCCGCTCAGTACCGACGACGGAAATTGATCTGTACTTTGAAAGGTCACCTGTGCGACCTCAGTTCCCCCAATCCGACACCGAGACCTCTAGCACTCAGTTCCAGTTCTCTCAATCAGAGACCGAGACTCCCAACTCTCGGGACCAATTCTCTCAGTCGGAGACCGCGACTCCAAATTCACGAGACCACTTCTCTCAATCAGACACGGAGACTTCCAGCATGCGGTACCAATTCTCTCCACGCACCCCCAAGGCTTACACAACCTTGCAGCCTGATGTCTCGCATGTGCAGGAGAGTGAGATCCGAGCCTGGTCACCGAGCCAAGTCGCCCACTGGATGTTCATCGCTGGCTACGATGACTCCGTCATTGAGAAATTCATCATGAATGATATCACGGGGTCAGTTCTTTTGAGTTTACAGGCCGATGACCTGAAGGAGTTGGGTATCAAATCCTTCGGCAAGCGTCATCAGCTGATGGGCTCAATCGATTACCTGCGCAACACCATGCTTAAGGATCCAGTCTTTGAGCGACCAGTCACTCTCCCGTCTCCACCTCGCTCTCCGAAAAGACGCTCCTACACCATGTCGGTCTCTCCGACTGGTGAGGTTCTTTCCAGCCGAGTCTATGACGGCAGTGGCAATCAAATCACTCCAGCGGAGTCTGTATCCATCGTGGGTATTGAGCAGGTTCTTCCCAAACCACACAGTTGCTCCAAGGGAGAGAACTGTCCTAAGTACAGAAGGCGCCAGCGCCAGCTTGAGAAGCTCGCGTCAGAGTTTCCCGGGGCAGTTATTCTTCCTGGTGGCTCAGTTCTGACGGGAAACCCCGGAAACCCAGAGACAGCAAAGAACCTTTTGCGACCAAAGTCAGATGCTGAGCCCTCAGTGGTGGCATCCTCAGACATCCTTGGGCCAGCCCAACCAACACCCCGCCTCTGCGAAGAGATGCTGAACGAAGTCAAGCGGCTCGACCCCCAGGAGAACGTGCGTCAATTTCTCAGCTATCAGCATGTTGAGCCTCCTGCTCTCGCAGAGCCAGAGCCTGTACAAATGCCAGAAGACCCAGTTCCAGCTCTCTCTCTGCCGACCACTTACACAACTCACATGGCTGCCAACCTTCGCAACCTTCCGAAGCTGACGATCCCTACTGGCACGGAATCAGATGAGTTGACCACCGCTACGACCGCGACAGCCCAGCGAACCATCACGCCTTCTATGGCCAACCGCATGTATGGCTCCCCAACTGCGATCCAGGAATACGGCCCCTTCAGCACAATGAGGCCGGTGGGCTCAGACGACTTTTACCGTCAGGGCACCCCGTTCTCCGAGATGGACGTCCCTGTCATTCAAGTTCCCGATGCGCCAGTTGCCCGTGAGGCTTCTCAGTCGGTGCCCCCAGATATGCGCTACGGAAATCTCATGAACCTACGCCATCAGGAGCCCATCATGCGTTCAACTTCCACCCGTCCTCGAGCTACCGCGCCACTGCGTAGAGTCCACGAAGATCGACCTCTCACTCCCATCGAGGGCCCTTCGGATTTGATCAGGAGTCCCCGTATGCCTCTGCATACTCCCAGCTCCACCAATTCGTCCCTCGCTTCAGATCCCGACGTCACCAAGGCCGGATGGATGAAGAAGCGCAAACAGACACGTTTCCTGCGTCACGAGTGGCAGGACGCTCATTTCACCTTGCGAGGGACAAATCTTGCCATGCACAAAGATGAGCTTGATGCTCACCGTAACTCCAAAGCCTTGGAGGTAATTGATGTGGATGAATATGCGGTTGCCTGTTCGTCACTGGCCACCAGTTCCAAATTGACTGCCGCTTTCAAGCGATCCATTTTGCGCAGCGGACAGAATACCTCCCGTGACGATGCTGCATTTGCCTTCTCCCTCGTTCCCTCGAGCAAGGAGAATGAGAAGAAGCTGTTGTTTGCAAACCACAACTCGAAGAGTCACCATTTCGCAGTCAAGACTCGTGATGAGCGCATTGACTGGATGCGAGAGCTAATGCTCTCCAAGGCCCTCAGGAAGGGCCGGGAAATGGGCGCTGAGATGCAGGTCAATGGGAACTTTATCTAAGCTGCCCACTCCCATCTTCAATCCGATTTCTCTTTGTGTGCTCTCCTTCAGGTGTTTATCGATACAGCCTCGCATGTACTCTAGTGAACTTCTCCTTGACTTTGCATTGGTGTTTCTGCGTCCACTGTATTCATCGCATCCAAGAAGCATCTGGAATTTTCCTTTGTTACGACAGAATGATTAAGACACATCGTCGCAGGACGGCCTTGTCATATACCCCAGCACCTTCCTGTTTTGTCAGTTTGACGTGGCTTTCGAAGTATAAATGAGGTTGATCAAGTAGGACTAGTTAGCAACTAATTTGGTTTGAGATAATATCTTGTTACAATCATACTGTGTCGTATCTTATAGAGTGATGCAAGAACAGACAAAGCTTCAATATCCTTGTGACTCCCTTTTGGTGGACGAAGTTTAAAAATTCCAGGATGATAGATATGGTGATTAATCCTTTTAGATTTGACTTTCTATGACCCACACAACGAATTGCACCTATAGCTCAGTGGTAGAGCGTTCCACTCGTATTGTGTACGACCTATGGAAAGGTCCGCGGTTCGATCCCGCGTCGGTGCATTTTTTGTTTACATTTTTATCATTCAAAATGATTACTATTTCGCTTTTATTTTTGAAGGCAGATTTACGTGTCTTTTGATATCTATGTCAGTAGCGATGTAGTACGTTTCAATATGCAAGAAATGGTCTAATATTATTGGAGACGCAGTCTAGCTAGAGTAACCAGTCGGAATAGCACACGCAATGATCATCCCATCATTCTAATAACGATATACGCCCATCCGTCCCCATACGCGCAACTCCTTACGAGCTCCTCGATTGGTGCTGACATTGGCACCGCCGCGCCGTGCAGAACCGGCTTCGCCAGGACAGGAGTCCTCCGGCTGGGAAAGAGGTTGGGAAGTAGCCAGTGCAACGCTGAGCCTAACGTCTGGACTTGCGAGGCGGGGCTATTCCGTAGATTGGTTGGTTGACCTGTATTCGTTGTGGCTGGTATACTAGGCGGCAACGGAGATTGGACGACCTTGAGAGATGGGGAGCCGGAGTCTGGGGATAGGGGTAGGAAGAAGCGGATTGGGACGTTGCGGAATGGTTGATTCGGTGGAGGGAGGAGGATATTCGAGATCCGTTGGAAGGAGGGGAGATCCACTACTTATTGTCAACATACTGAAGCGCAGATCGTGCTATGATAAAAGCTGTGAAATACCATCTTGCACGGCCTGCCATAATCCGGCCGAGTCCTCTTTGGACAGGGTCATGATTCCCTTTGCGGTGCCGTTACGGAGGAAATCCGCCTCCTTGACGCTGTTGATGTACGCGTCGTGCATGACCATGCCGTCTGCGTCGAGTCGTACGAGCTCTTCATCGGGCCAGTCGCTGAAATGCACCGTCAGCCGCCAGGGAAGCGTATCGCTCACGCTGCTGGTGGGATGGTCTGTTTCGTCAATTCTTGTTCCCTTGGATGCTGGGTCTGCGCCCGCGTAAAGGTCATACAACAGCCCAACTGGGAGGTGCCATTTCAGCGGGACTCCTTCGAAGGAGAACCAGCCCTCGTGGGGTTGCGAGTTGGGTTCGATCAGTGATGGTGAGAAGAAGGCTCTTAACCTGGGTAATAATGATGGGAGATAAGAGATTCGCGGGCAAGCGATCTAGACATACGTTAGCTTCGTACACATAACGTGGTTTAGTACTTGTCGAGGAGGATCGTTACAAGATAGGGATCAGTCTGGTCATATGTTCGACTCTCCGATGAAGCGAGCGTTATCTGCAACGGCAGTTTTCCATCCCATACAGCTCTCTGGATGCTGCTAAGAGAGGCTTGATGTTCCATCCTTAACAAAGGATGTCCTCATCCGCCCTACGACAAGTCAGCACGAAGCCTGATACATTTGGGAGCGCGCGGATGGTACCTAGTTTGTAACACCTGGAGATAGACAAACACCGCTTTATCGAAGACAGTGTAGATCGATTTGGTCTACATATACTTCTAGCATTAAGAGACAAATGCACAACCCCGCAGCAAGAACAGAACCATTATTGACAGCGGTCGATGAGCTTGCAATTTTCATAGCATAGTCATTCAATCAAGAGCTTGTCCCAAGATAAAGACGAACCTGAAAAGTCCGGGACTAGTAGACATGATATGACTGCAAGAATGATGGAGATGATGTTGTTTGGCAGATAATGAGGGATTACCTGAACGGGTATGTCACATGATTTAAGCCTGAGGCATCACAATTGTTACTCATACAGCCAAGAGAGCGCATGTCTTGTATCCGTTCAAGTGTCTCAATTTTGATCTTCAAAATACCTGCATCACCGTGTGACGATTGCCCGGGCGTACATTGGCCCAGACATTTTGTTTGGCGTCAACTCTTTACAAAGCCGTTGTCGTCATATCTCAAACACGTGGTTTCTGGTAACATACTCTTATCAGATGCGAATGGCCTATGATGCTGCTTGAATCATCAGGTATCTACAATGGCTTCAATTGATTAGTCTCAAACGGGGAGCTTGTTATATGCGCTTATAGGCTGGAGCCTCGGCGGCACATATTTCAAGGGTGGCATTGACTAGTATTTACTAGAGAATATATATATATCCGCGGCTGACAAGGTCCCTCGCAAAGACATCTCCTCAGCCTGATATAAGACACCATGGCAGCCTCACAAGATGCATTGGCATATCATGAGCCAGGGATCGAAACTATTCTGATCCTAACTAGCTTTCTGCTTGCTCTCAACTGGGTGAACGCTCTACTTGATAAGCTGATCTACTGCGGGCTCGTTGGGCAGCTTCTCATTGGGATGGCATGGGGGGTCCCCGGAGCCAACTGGATAGAATTAGACGTTCAGAGAACCATTCAGCAGCTGGGATATCTCGGGTTGCTTCTTTTGGTGTACGAGGGTAAGTTGACTGCAGAAGGATCGGCTGATGCCGCTATTCTGACGAGCTTGTTTCCACAGGTGGCCTTTCAACATCATTCTCCCAATTGAAATCAAACTTCGTCCTGTCCTCTGTGGTGGCGATCACCGGGGTAGGTGTGCCTATGGGTCTATCCTTCGTCCTGATGAGCCTGCTACCAGCCACTCCTCTTCAAGCATTTGCCGCCGGTGCGTCCCTCTGCTCAACCAGTATCGGAACGACATTCACCATGCTGTCCACGACGGGACTGGCAAAGACCCGATTGGGTGTTGTCCTCAGCAGCGCAGCGATGATGGACGATGTCGCGGGCTTGGTGATGGTTCAAATCATCTCGAATCTGGGTGGCGCGAGTCAGGAATTCTTCGACCCGGTGGTCGTGATCAGGCCCATCCTTGTTGCCTTTGGGTTTGCTTTGGGGCTTCTTCTCATTTGTCGATTTGTCGTTGCGGTGGTCGTGCAGAAACTTCAGGCGCACGAGATTCGGGTCCCTGCTTGGATGAGGTCATTGAATGTCGCATTCGTTGTGCACATGCTCTATCTCATTGGATTGTGGCCGGCGCACAGTACGCCGGCACATCGGGTCTCTTTGCTGCATACTTAGCTGGGGCTAGTATTTCCTGGCTTGACGAGATGTTGGCCACTCATGAAAAGCAGCCAAAGACCGAAGTTCCAGCCAATGACCGGCGTGAATATCGACCGGGGAGCATTGAAATGCAGACTCGACTGACTCGTAACGCAAATCATACACAAAGAAGTCACAGAGAAGCTGAATCCACCGAAGCACCCGCTCATACGGAGAGGACTATGCATTTCGAGCGATCAACTGGAGAACTTGCGTTCGAAACTTTCTGCAAAGAGCCTCTCAAGCGGATTCTGAGCCCACTCTTCTTTGTAGGTTTCCCTAATTTTCTACATCGATCCTCTCAAGTTCCGTCCTGACTCGCCCTCCAGGCTTCGATAGGGTTTTCCATTCCAATCACGAAAATGTTTGAAGGGAAGGTAGTCTGGCGAGGCGTAGTTTACACTCTTCTCATGGCTTTTGGCAAGCTAGTGACCGGATTCTGGCTGATTCGGTTGACTTTACCCGGGTCAAAGCCGTTGAACAAGGCGAAGAAGTTTCTACTCGGGTTTGCCACTGTGAGCGCGGCCAAGTCATGCAAGAACCAATCTCAGCCGGACAGTGACTCCTCACGTGCCTCAGCGCAAGGACAGACACAAAGGAGCGATGGACCAAAGAAAGAAGCAAACCAATCCTCTGAATCAAACTCGCGCAAGCAGGATTCTCAACTCCCGGCGGCAACAGCGGGAACTGACTCGCCGCAAGAAGGGCTTTGTCCTCCTGTGGCACAAATCAGCAGCCCACAGCTTCCTCGCAAGCCCCGCTCATTGTATCCGGCGTCGATTTTGGGGTTGGCTATGGTGGCGTGAGGCGAGATTGGCTACCTCATCGCGTCGTTGGCTGAGGCGGATGGAATCTTCTCCCCTCATTCATCCTCATCTCCCGCAACCAATAGCCATGAGGTAGCCTCTGAGATCTATCTGGTGGTCATCTGGGCGATCACCCTCTGCACTTTCATTGGCCCCATTTGTGTCGGGTCTCTAGTGAAGAGGGTGAAAACCCTTCAGAGTTCTCGAACTCATTCTGGCGGCGAAGACCCTCTAGGCGCGTGGGGCGTCTCTTGAGGATATCGCGTACTGCCCTGTGCAAGTAGACTCGATGGGGGCAAGACAACAAAAAGCAAAAAGAAAATCGAGAAAAGGACGCACTCTCAGGCAGCAACTCTTCGATAGAGAATGGTCATTTCGGCCCTAGGATTTACGGCCCTTGGGACTTGACTTCAGCAAATCTCAGAGTACTCTGATAGGGTGCGCATTTTTCTAGTTGTATCATTCCTCCAGCCTATCTTGAAGAGGCAAGGAGTACCAGGATACGAGCCGAAAAAGGAAGGTTGTGAAATGGCACCAGGGAAGATAAGTTCACGCGGCCAATTTCCTTTGTGTAACACCAAGGTCATTGTCTTGTCTGCTCGACCTTCGAAATAGCGTATGGAACGAGTCCACACGACTAAAATTGCTCAGGATGAACCCATGCCATCAGTTTCGTTTAACATGACTCGCTAGTCAATACTATGTAGTGTTAACCATATTGAGCGACGCGGATCCTTACCGGGATTAGCAGCGATCAAGGCATGCCACAGCCGTTTGGTATTGTGGGGTCGAAGCCTTGAAAGGTTGTAGCTGCAAGCTTGGTAGGTTTCTATGAGCACTGTAGATAGCCCGTAGGTGTTCCGTACTCAAGGGTTCATCCGGTGTTGTCGATCCTGGCTCAAGTTCAAACAGCTTGTTTCATCTCTCACTTCAGAGTGAAGGTGCTGCTGAAGATGGTTGTGGTGCAAGGGGCTTGATCAAAAAGAGTTGCGACGGCAACGAGAAGGAAAAAGCAATTATTTGAGATAGTTTCAGAGCGAAGTGATGAAACACGCAAAAATGGACGAATCTGAGCAAGATCTGCGTGTCTAGTCGTGGAGTTCGCCGATGCCTCCTGCTTTTAGTCTCGACTGGGTAGTCTCACTTTGCAATGATGATAATGGCCTTTGCTTTCATTTGATGACCGGTAAGGTGACATGTCATGCTTTTCAGCAAGGGAGGGTTGTCCATTCTCCCTTGCAACCATGTGCTCTGCAGTCTGCCGTCAGCACAGGCCTCCAGTGAGGCTTGGTTGGAACCAGTCGACTGCTTTGAGAGTTGAGGCTTGGCTCTGTTTCATGCCATCCACGCGAGATGGGGAATGATGGAATCATACCCCGTACAACGGTAGTAGTCCTAGTCGTCAGTGCACTTCACAGGACCCACTACTGAATAGACTTTTTGGCCTGCGTATATGCGCTGAGATTGACGTACAAAGTTGTTAAAAATAGGTCAGACTTCCTGGCCTTGGCTTGCGCAAAGACAGTGATCTCCCGAGAAGCTTCTTGCAGCGTTGAACCGGGCAGCTATGGGCTTTGACGAGAGCAATATCACCCCGACCCATCTTGATTTGATTCAAGGCTACGGTATACTGTATACATTTCGCCTGATGAGCAATCGTGGACTGCTCTCAAGTCGCAAGATCTTCCGGCTTGGTCTGCACCGCAGTACGGAGTACGGAGTAGTCGCTCTTAGGGGTCGTCAATTTTTGCCCAATTCGTGAATGGACGTCTCCTTGGTCAAGCATTTACAGTCACTGCAGATCTCCCAGTGCCCATGAAGTCTCACTTCGGGTTCGGCCGGTTTGGAAAAACTGCCCGAATTGCATCATGATTGTATCCAGCAAGCACCCAATACTGCGGATTTCGCTTCATAGGCTTGTCCATCAACCCCTGACAACGCCCAAACGTTGTTCTCAGAGCCTCGAAGCTCTGCGTAAGGGTAAGACTGGACGCACCCGACACTCTGGTAACAACCGGTGCCAAGAGTGAGCGTAGTTCACGGCCATCACCAATCAAGGCCTATTGAGGTTCGGACGGCTTCGCATTTCCCAACCCTGAGAACGGCTGAAATTGAGATTTACAGTGTGCAACCTCAGCTGTCTCTTAAGTCCCTGAGACCTGTCGTAAAGGTCTTTTTTTCGTCCTCGATCTTGAACGGCCCAGCCCCTAATCAGCGGAAAGTCACGCGGCGTAAATGAATAATTGCTTTTTCCCCCCTTCTGCACCTTGTCCCTTTTCATATGTCATGCGCATCGCACTCCTCAGCGAAGATGCTCCTGGCAGGATTATCCAATGAGCGAGGCTTCGCGTTCTATTTTTCATTTTTCCTGGACCCAAATCATATTACTCTCCGTCTGAAATTAAAGGAGCATAGCTGAACTGTGTTTTAGGCGTCAGTTTGTCTGAAGTACGACGACCCAAGTATGTGGATGGTTCAAACACACCCGCAACAGATTCGCCAATGACTTTCAAGGTAGAGCCCAACTCCATGCGAGCACTAGGTAGATGTGAGGAAGCATAAGGTAATTGTTCAGCACATGGCCTCTTGTTAGAGAAGGGAGGTCGGCGATGTCAACTGCCCGATGACTGCATAGAGAATTTGACACTCGCAGCCGTTAGAACAGCACGAGAAGAAGCACAGGCTGCATGGTAACCCGCATATGCACATAGCTTACCACGCAAATGATGCACTTCTTGCATCGCTCCGTGAATCATCACCTCAGGAACGTTGACAAAGGGGGCTGTTCGCCGATCGCCACTCAAAGAGGAAATGAGGAAGTAAGGAGGTGACCGAGGAAAAAAGAAAACACGCAGCCACAAAAGCATGCGAGTTGCTCAGATGAGATGCTGAATGGCAGGTTATGCCAGTCAAATTCCTGTTTCAGATTTCCTTGGGACTGTGCGTTGATCATCCATACCAGCAACCACGTTTGTCCACGCGAACCACGCCTGTTCGAAGCTCCAACCGATCGTCCTTGCAACGGCTCATCCTCGGTCTCGACTCCCTATTCAAGCCTGCCAATCATGCCCCTAGCTCGGGAGGTGCTGCACAGATTATGACAGGATGCAGGACTGCATTTGGTAGCTGAATGACTGCCAAGAAAGTCGCATGCCATCGGCCATGCTACTGGTCTAAGGTCTAGACTTGTGGCAGAAGATCTGGTGTTTCAGCCTAGTTTTCGTCCAAACATACACACAGTCCACTTCCAACGAACGAGAAAAAACGGTTGCAGTCGAAAAAGAAAGTAACTGTAGGACGCCGTAGCGTACCAGGGGGACGGGCCCATAGGGCAATGCTCGGCCAATCTTCCCGACGTACGCCACGTCCGCTTATCAGAATTCCCCCAAGAAAGTCGATCCGGTGGTAAATGAACTCCCGTTCAAGAGATGCGAACTAGACGCTTAAGCGATGAAATCCAACTCCACTCCGAGGCCATCCCTTGGCCCAAGCCCAGTCGGTACCTACGGCTGATGGACGGTTTTTGGTGATCAAGGCATTTGATGATGATCCTTCGTGGACCCTGCTTCGAGAAGAGAATAGGGTGTCTAGTAGCCAATGAATAGATCCGCTTCGCTCTTCACCTCACGACTGTTCGGCCGGTTGCTGATCCAGAGCCGTTCTCGGCAGTCCATGCGCCAGAACAGAACGGCGAATGTGCACTAAGCCCATGTCGATGTCATCGTCCATGCTGTCTCTCAGGCTGAAGATCTCGATCATTCCGGTTTCTCCCTCGATGCCCATTCCTTTTTTAAGCCCCGTTCAGACTTATCCTGGTCATTTACCAGTGCCCTCGAGACTATGAAGCGGGTCAGCTATTTTTGTATTCCATCATCAAAATTCCCTGACTGTTCCATCTGCGCCGGCGATCATCCTTGAGTATTTAGAGGAGGGGCATGCCTGTCTTGCTGTTACTCACCAGATTTCAGAACCAATAAGCATAAAAAGCAGAGCAAAAGAGCGACTTCATTCACTGTCATTGCAGTTACAATCGCACAATCCACATCTTGAACACCATATCTCGAGTGTATATCGTCAGCCTGTCCTTCTGCCACACTTCAGCAACTGGATAGATTTCGCCTCACTCGCTTGCCCGAAACAACTTCAACTTCCCAGCATTTCGACTTGAAGACGAACAGAAACCTCATAGTGACAATGCCTTCTGCAACAAAGTCCACAAAGTAAGCCCCATTCATGTGCACACATATTCGCCACAGAGGACTCACGTGTGGCTTCATTTCAGGATGACCAACGGCGAGAGCAGCGGCCTAAGTGCCGGGAAGTTGAGCCATATTCCAGACGCCAGCAACGGTGTCGTCGACAGATTCTCACAGTCAGCTTTTGCTGATGAGCCTTACTTCGCTCGTGCGCGCATGCATGATCGGTCAGCTCACGTATCACGTTTGAGCAGTCAACTTGACGCAACTGAAGAAATATTGCGAAAATGAAGGTGGAGGAAAGTTCGCGGGGATATCTCTTCACTCCAAATTTGGGGAGTGGCGGGACCCTGAAGAAAAATTCGTCCAAAAGATTGACAGAATGATGTTCTATATACAAAGTCTATGATCGTCCTATTAGCGTACATTTCATCAAGACTGGGCCCCGAAGCTCGGGGGCGGTTCTTTTTTTCCTTCCCCCCCCCCACCCCCCTTCTCTCTCTGATTTGTGTCATAACCGAGTTCAATAGACTTCTCTCAATTCAAGAGCTCCACTATCCGTTGTGCTACCTTATCGTAGAGGGTACTGGGAAACTCATGGCCTGCGTTGTAGTACTCAAAATCAACATTTCCCTGGAGGGCCAACGTGGCGTCGTGCACAAGCTCATCTTTCACGATAATGGCATCATGGATGCCGCACATGATGAGGACTTTGTCACTTGGAAGGCCATTTGTCAATTGCTCTTCCTTTGGAAGTCCTTTCTGTGCTACCAGGTACTTGCCAAGGCGTGTCCAGGTGTCCCA